AGCGGTACCATGGAATCTCGTATATATCCACCATAGATCTCCGATCATCGTACTGGCAAATCCCACTAGACGCAGATAGTCAGAAATATACGGCTTTCTTGTACAACGGTCGTAGTTTTGTGTACAAAGTTCTGCCGTTTGGATTAAAAACTGCGGTAGGATCATTTAGTAGAGCGATGGATATAATACTAGGACCAGAAGTTCGTGAATTTACCACGAACTACATCGACGACCTGTTAATAACATCGCGTACGTTGGAAGACCACTTAAATCACATTGCCGCTGTTTTAAGTAGACTGGAGGACGCCAATATGACAGTAAATTTAGAGAAAACCCATTTTTTTCAAAAATCCGTACAATTCCTCGGGCATGTTTTGACACCTGCTGGAATACACCCAGATGAGGATAAAATTAAAGCGATAAGAGCATTCCCTACTCCACAAAATGTGAGACAATTACGGGCATTTTTGGGTCTCAGTAATTATTATAGGCGATTTAGTCAAAAATATAGCGCCGTGACAAATCCCTTAAATAAATTACTAAGAAAAGAGTTAAAATGGCAATGGGGTAGAGACGAACAGGTGGCTTTCGATCAAACGAAAGAGTTATTCTTAGAAACTGTGCTGTTGCGGCATCCTGATCCAAAGAAGCAGTTCTTTGTACAAACTGACAGTTCGGGATATGCAATGGGAGCTGAGTTATATCAGGAAGCACCTGATGGAGAACATTTGGTTCTGGCCTATGCGAGTAGATCTTTAAGAGGACCCGAGTTAAATTACACGACTACGGAAAAGGAGTTATTAGCCGTGATTCATGCGCTACGTAAATTCCGAACACATATTCTGGGAAATACAATTACCATCCGAACTGATCATCAGGCTTTAAAATTCTTATCAAAATGTAAATTAGTTAGCGAAAGAGTTGCGCGATGGACTCTATTTCTTAATCAATTTAATTATACCATAGAATATGTGAGAGGAAAGGACAACACGGTCGCTGACGTGCTGTCTCGCTATCCGCATGACGCGCCGCTGCACACTTCGTTTAACAACCAACCGCTCGTTGCGATATTAGGGGTAGCTGCCGTTAAGAAAATCGTCACATTTCAGGCAGATAACGAAGAAAATGTAAAGTTAGCTTTGAAACAGCTACATGACCGACAGCAGGCCGACCCGATCCTAAAAGAAATCATAGATTTCTACAAGAGTAATCGACCCATCCTAAAGCTTGAGGCGAAGCGGATACATAGAAATTACGAATTAAAAGACGGAGTCCTATTTTATTTAAACCCGAATAAAAGTAATGAGAAAAGAATTGCCATACCAACTGATTTAGTTGCCGATTTCATCTGGTACTATCATTATACTTTAGGACATTTCGGCTCCAGTAAATTATATGCGATTTTAAAACAATGTTATTATTGGGGTAACATGTTAGACCTAATTAAGAAAACGATTCGTACCTGTGACTTGTGCCAGAAATGTAAATATCCTAATAAACATCTGTTAGGCAAGAATAACCCAATTTTAACAAAGGAACCGGGACAGTTAGTAGCGGTAGATTTTTTTGGACCACTACCTGAAGGGCGAGGAAAAGCGGCATACGTCTTTGTGGTCATTGACACTTTCAGCAAGTTTGTTAAATTGTATCCGATGCGGAAAGCGCAAGCCAAGGTAGCCGCGAAAAGAATGGTAGATGATTACATTAAATACATCCCTTGTAAAACCGTTTTAAGTGATCATGGTACTCAGTTCACCTCTAAAGTGTGGGTAAATACTTTACAAGCCGCAGGAGTTTCGGTAACATACTCTTCGATACGCCATCCCGCCTCTAATCCTGCCGAAAGAGTTATGAAAGAATTAGGCCGACTTTTCCGTACGTACTGTCACGAGAAACATGCAGGTTGGGCCCATCATATAAAAAATATAGAGGACTTATTTAACAAAATCCCACACCTAAGTACGAGGTACAGTCCATATGAAATAATCTTTGGACATAAACCCAACTACCCGCTAGACCATTTAACGCAAAAGTATTTACCGTCTAAACAACCACAAAATAAAGAAGATATGTATAAAAACGTTCGAGACAACCTACAACAAAACGCGGTACAACGTAGTAAACAAACAAAAGGCCAAGACGAGTTAAACATAGACGATTGGGTATTATTAAGAACAAACCCAATTTCAGAGGCAGCAAGTAAGTTTATCGCAAAGTTCGCACCACTGTATGACGGTCCGTTTAAAGTCATCGCAAAACCGCATCCTAATACATATAAGTTAGCTAACGTTACGGATAACGCCGTTAAAGGTACATACAACATAACTAACCTAAAATTTTATTACCGCTCTATAGATCCCACAGTTTAAAACATAATAATAATAATAAATAGACAAGCCAACTAAGTAAGTAACCGTTCCCCACTTTTGAAATAAATAAATAAATAAAAACCAGACTAACAGAGAAGTCCAACTAGGGGCTTTATATTTTATTACAAACGCCAGTTCGTATTAAAATATAGGGGGTGACTGAAAAGGTTGGACTCCTCTAACGCCTGAAAGTATAAAACCCGTAATACAATTTTGAAATTTTAAAATAATATGTACTTCGTTTGCTTAAAAGAAGCCAACTAAGTAAAGTTTGCTACAGATATATGACATCTGGCGATGTCAATACTGATAAACATCCACTTAAGAGCTTTGGAATGCAAAAGGGACCCTTCCAAGTTCAATTTTCAGGGGGTGTCGGGATTTGAGATGCAAAATTAAATTAGTTAAATTATATAAATAATAAATCGGTAACTTATACGAAAATATTATTACACTGTACTACGAGTACACCCCGTATTATGGTTGCACGGAGGTATACCTCTCTACGGGACGCCTTTTTGTTAGATAATAAATAAACAGTTTATTGTACATATTAAAATGTGTTATTTAAATAGCTAGTTAGTTAAATAATGTGAAGTTGTTTAGTATTAAGTTAGTAATAGTTTAATTGTTATGTTCAATACAATTGTTGTAATTTAGTTTTAAGTTTTCAGTACCTAATCTTATTATCGGTAAAAAACCGAATAGTTAAACTTGAATTTGTATGTATTATTTTCTAAAGTAGTACCGAAGTCGGTACTATACTAATTGTTAAAATATTTTATTGTAAAAAACCAATATTTCGAAAAAACCAATCAACCAGTACAAAAGTTGACTAAGGGCACACCTAAAATTATTGATTATTTGACTGGGATACTAGACGGCAAAAATATCTATCCCAAATGTCTTTTCCACTTAAAAATGTTAAAACACTATTTTATCTTAATTTTGCCATGTCACACATGTGGTTGACTTTTTCCAACATTGGGGAAAGACAAAGAACGAGATATGAGAAGGGGCTGATCGAAAGTTGCATAAGTGGATTTAGACAGTGAGTTTCCAGTTCTGGTTGCGTGTGGACGTTTTTCCAAAACTCCGTTCTCGAATTCAAACTTGTGTGTAACGCCAGTTGTAGCCACCTTGTTTATTTAAATTCGACGCCGCGACACCGCGCCCTCTATCGTACAAACGTTTCAACTTTGTTTAAATTTCCCGCCGCGTGTATGTGCTGCCACCTGCTGGACAATCAATTAATTGCAGTGACATTTAATTTCAAAGCCTATCGCCGTGGGTGCTGACACCTGTTAGTAGTTGTGTAGTAACAGTGAACAAGTAGTTTATTAAGTTTATTATTAATCATTTGAGGATCGTAATCAACAAGTAGACCCGAAACTACAGGTATGCCAAGACATGTTATCATTGTAATTGTTTTTCCAACGTAAAGAGAGTAAGAGCCATTTCATAAATAAATTCATAAATAAATTAATTGAACCGGGATATCTACCTGCCTACAGTCAGATAAATCAGGTGACAACACTCTAGTACTACTAATGTTAAACTATGACATTTTCCACCAAATAAATACCACATCAGGCATATATTGACGGTATGATCTGCAACGGAAATCAATACAACATTTTCTTAAAAGTATAGAGACACCTTGCATTATTAATTGCTTGCATGTATACTAAACGCTAGTTGTGAGGCTGTCAATATACTGTTTAATCTCGTGCAACCTGGGAGTGTGATAATATTACATTGAAAATACATCCTGTACCTTCCGATATCCTGTAGGCTCAGCGGAAAAGGCTCGTCCCAACGATGGAACACCAACATTGAAACAATTCCCACCGAAAAGCTATAGGCAACCACATAAAAGAGCCAATATAGGCAATCCTTCCCAATATAAAAAAAGGAACTTCATAAATATTAACACACTCCCGCAGAGACTAGTGTCGATATGTGAGCTGATGATAAGGTACTAATAACCACACAGCTACTTCAACAACAAAAACAAAATATAAAAAAAATAAATAGAGGCAACTCTCGATCGTAACGATCGCCAACAATATAAACAATAAAAGAGGCCCAAGCCCACTGGAAATCGAAATCGAATTACACCCGTTCATCGATTTGATTTTATAATAAAAAAAGGTTTTACCATCATCCTTTCCATAAAGCAGAGTACCTGTCACCTGACTTTACGACCGACGGCACGCTTCTTGGAATCCTCTGGCTTTAACACCGACCCAGGCGCCAGGTCAACGACCGTGGCAGTTTACTGTTAAAAAAAAGGGGTTTAAAACGAAATATTGGTTTCCACAGTTGCTTTGTTCTCTTTACTATAAATAAATAATATGGTTATAAATATTTGTTTGATTGTTTGTCACTCTTCCTACTTTATTATGACGAATCGGGGCTAGACGTATTCTAGGCCAAATTAAAGGTAAATATAGGTATTAAAGGGTAAATTAATTAAACACAACGTAGACCGGGTCCTTTCCATTCATGATAACCTAAAAGATGCTACATATGGTAGACATTTTTGGCGATATAAGCGACATTCAAGTTGAAAAATTAATTTAAAAACGATGTTAAAAGTTAATTGGATAACATTTTGAATTTAATTACCTTTACTTCGTCGTCTTCGTCCTCTCCTTCCCATTTGTTCACATCCACCACTGTGGGAGCAACAACAGGGGGCACAAAATCCTCATCGTCTAAACAAAAAGTCTTTGTTTGATTTAAAGCACTTAAAAACACACATTTACTTACCCCAGGACTCCATATTTTAGCAATACTACTATTAAAATCTAAGAAAATCAAAATTAAGCACGTGTGTGCTAATAACCGTAACGGCTACTAAACCCGCTAGAGGTCACTCGCGCTCTGTCAATTTCTACTTATACCTAATTATTTTATCTTTCGCGATTAATACGGTTTTCTGCTCTATATCAAACAAGAAGTTTGAGCTTTTTATACTTTTGATTCATGGACAACAAACAACGGAAATTATCTACGTTTAAACTACTCAAAAATGCGAACGACTTTCGAACATCCATCTCAGTTTGACAGCTCTAAATAACTAAAGTCATCAGTGTTGCCAATGTCAAATATTAAAATCTCTGATTAAAATTATTCCCCCAGCCATCTAAAACGCAAAGATAAGCTTTTAGCCTGATTTATAGATTGCCTTCCTCCCTTCCTTACTTCCTTCCTCCCGTAAAAGATGAAATTACGAAAATCGTAGTCAAAGATAATATTATCTTTGGTGCCAGTTATAGATTCCCCTACGGGAATCTTTAAACAGCATAACGGTTTTTGCATTGTTCATCTTCTACGGGAGGAAAGAAGGAAGGAAGGAAGAAAGGCAATCTATAAATCAGGCTTTTTTTGTGAAAGCGGAAAGAAAGGTGCCAATATTAAACGTTAAGAAAATACATCAACAAATGTTATCAGCGCTGCTCTACCTTTCCTTCTTTTGAGAGGGGGCGAGCAAATGTAAATATTTATAAAATTTAATTAATTTAACATCCTCCTTATAACAGAATAAAAATATCCGCAATCTACGAATGCATCCGCCAATAGAATAATTATCCGCCAATTGGCAACACTGAAAGTCAATGTACGCGGTATGTTGGTCCAAAATCTCGTTAAAACCTAGGTTATAGAAATATTACGGATGTTTCGCGACACGAAGACTAGAGATTTTTTTGTTCTATGCTCTGAGAGCATTGCTCTCCTTTCTCTGGATCTCATCATTAACCTCACTTGAATTTTTATAACCCGATTTTAAAGTGATAAAATACCAAATGAAAGCTCCTATTATTTTGACATTTAGGTTGGCACACCTGTTTCAGAAGCATTTCTGTCAAATGTCACCGTATCGGCGTTATCGTTTGTTGAACGTTTTCTAAAACGTTTAAAACCAAATAAAAAGATGGTATAACGTTTAGATTACATATAGACTTTATCCTGTGAACATAAAATAGTGTAATAATGGCTGTGGGCACGACAAAAGTGGTGCAAGTCACGAATATCGCACCACAAGCAACCAAAGACCAAATGCATATACTTTTTGGTTACTTGGGCAAGATTGAAGATATAAGACTTTATCCCACAATTAGGGATGTTTCCTGTCCGGTGCAGTCGCGTATTTGCTACATAAAATTCGTGGACACATCTACAGTTGGCATTGCTCAACACATGACAAACACTGTTTTTATTGATCGGGCTTTAATTGTTATACCAGTGCAAAATGGGGAGATTCCAGACGAATATTACGCTTTGGAAATGACCAGGAATGGAACCATGGTGCCAGGTTTGAATGTGAATGAACCTAAAATGCCTCCACATCTTGTAAATTCTGTACAAGGTTCAGGATCTGACCAGGTTATAGTGACCTTAGATCCGCAGTTAGAAATGAATAATTTACCCTTATATCCACCATTACCATCTAATTACGACAGCAGTAGGATTGAGGAAACACGCCGTACCATCTTAGTTCAAAATGTGAGCTCTGATGTTACAAACAATGATTTAATAAACTTCTTTAGCGCTGCAGGTGAAGTAAAGTACTTAAGAACCTGTGAAGAGACCCCAAATGGGGCTTCACACATGCTTGTTGAGTTCTCAGACCAACCCAGTGTTTTAAATGCTCTTAAACTAAACAATACTGACTTCAAAGGTACCCCCATTGATATTCAGCATGCTACTCAACCTATAGTGAAACCACAAGCTAAAAGTAATGAGGCAGCCCAACTAGAAATTGAGGAAGCAATGTCTCGATTCAAAGAAGCCCAAAATATGATAAATGCTTCAATAGAACCTGTCATAGGAATGCTTACAAAAGATAAGCGCTCCAGAAGATCTAGATCCAGATCTAGAGGGAGAAGGCGTAGATCCAGATCAAGATCGCGATCCAGAAGATCCCGATCAAGACGGTCTAGAAGATCCACATCTAGATCCAGGCGCTCCCGCTCTAGAGATAGACGCAGAAGATCAAAATCTAGATCCCGCAGATCACCATCTAGATCCAGGCGATCTAGATCAAAGAGCTCTAGAGGATCTAGACGCTCCAGATCCAAGTCCAAACGCAGAAACAGATCTAGAGCTAGAGATTCAAGGCCTGGATCTAAAAGTAGGGACTCCAGAGCTAGATCTAAGGGTAGAGAGTCCAGGGCAAAATCTAAAGATAGAGAATCAAGGGCAAAGTCTAAAGATAGGGAATCAAAAGCTAGATCTAAAGATAGGGAGTCAAAAGCTAGATCTAAAGATAGAGAGTCAAAAGCTATATCTAAAGATAGGGAGTCCAGGGCTAGATCTAAAGGTAGAGAGAGCAGAGCTAGGTCTAAGTCTAAGGAAAGAGAGTCAAAGGCTAGATCTAAGGATAGGGAATCTAAATCTAAAGAAGTTGATTCTAAATCTAGAGAATCAAGGGCTAAGTCTGTGGAGCGTAAAAGAGATAGATCTAAGGGTAGGGAATCCCGCGCTAAATCCAGAGGTAAATCCCGTGGGAGATCCAGGGATAAAGATATTAAATCCAGAGACAAATCCAGGGATAGAAAGCGATCAAGAGATCGTAAAGAACGTAAAGATAAGCGAGATAAAGAAAATGACGTGGATAAAAAACGATCCAGGTCTAGAAGCAAGAGTAAAAGGAGATCCAGGTCTAGGGATAGGAAAACTAAGGATAGAAGAAGGTCTAGGTCCAGGGGCAAGAGGAGGACTCCGAGTCCAAAACCGAGTCGCAAACGCAGCAGGTCTAAAAGCAGGGATCGTAAGAAAGATAAAAAAGACAAAAGGGATAGATCAAGGTCAAAATCTAGATCTAAAGTACCTAGAAATTATGACGAGGAAGAAAAAGGTTTTGATGATAAAATTAAGGACAAGGACGACGCTATTCAATCTGACAGAGACATAGAGGATAAATCTGACAACATGGATATTTCAAATTCACCCTAATTTCTTAATACTTATTTTTATTTGATGATACTTACCTTTATTATGTATATTTGTGGACTAATATAATAATTCAAATAAAATGTATTTTAAGAGTAAATTTTGTCTTATTTTGAAATACTTTTTAAATTAAAAAACAGGATTTTTTCTTAACAATTTAATAAAATAATATACATTTAATTCTTAATTACTATTCTTATTTCCATATTTTAACTTATTCTTAAACTTTTTAGGTTTTATACCATAAGCTTGTAACCTGGCGTCAGAAATACCAATATCTTTTTCATTTTTATTATTTTTCTTAAATTTCTTATTCTGTTTACCATTTTCGGTATTATTTCTTTTTCTTTTATTGGCATTCATGTTTTTAGTACTTTTACCATCATTTTCAGTAGTGGTGGACACTTCAGTAGAATTTTCTGTAGGTTTCTTTTGTTTTTTCTTCTTTTTCTTGTTTTTTTTATTAGGTGAAGATATTGTTTTACCTGGTTTTTCTTTACTTATTTGCTCAATTTTATTCTCTTTAATCTCTGTATCTTCATGTAGTACCACTTCCTTAATCTTTCTCTTATTCTTCTTACCACTAACCTGTTTATCTTCATTAATTTCTTCTGATTTAGTTGAACCACTGGTAATGTCTTCATTAGTTTGCTTCTCTTTGCCTTTCTTCTTTCCTACCACATCTTTTTCTGCTGGTATTTTTGAACTACCAACATCATCAATTTTTTCTTCAAGTGGTCCATTAATCTTACTTGGTTTTCTCTTATCATTTTCACTAGTTTCTTCTGAAGCATTTGAAGTACTTGGTGCTTCTTTATCTTCGTCAAACAAACTGGGTAACAATTTTTTCTTCAAGCCAACATTTTGAGCTTTTTTGGAAAACGCAATTTGATCGTATTTTTCTATGTGGTCAGGTCTTATTTGCACTGTTTTTTTCAATGAGCACCACTTGTTTAATTCGCGGTCCTTTGCCATAAGAATCTGGAAGAAATCATGTAAAGAAAAAAATAAAATGTGTTAATTATGTTACCTCTTCTGTTGTGAGTCCAAAATCATTTGGAACCACTTTTCTATACTTAAATCTACATGGTATGTCTCCAATAATATCCTCACAATCTAGAGCATAGTATTCGTCAAGGTATTTTTGGTAAGTTTTGTCATTTGGATCGAATTTTGGTTTTGGTTTACTGACGGCTTCAGCGAATTTGGATTTTCTTTTCTTCTTCTTTTTGCCTTTGGAATTTTCCATCAGTTCATCCTGAGTTGACTGATTTGGATCATAGTCACAATCCATCTAAAAGTTTATGATTTTTTTATGAGTTTTTTAACAATAATTATACTCACATTAAAATTTTCATCTTCACAATGTGGAAGATTATCTCCATTGTCAGTTTCTTCAAATCTATCCCATCTTTCTGCAAACAGAAAAATTATTAAAGATTTTATTCAAGTATTGCTCAAATTTACCAATTTCTAGTTCCTCGTCCAAATCAGGGAACTCTGGTTTTTGATCATCTTCAGCCCCTTCATAAAACTCATTATCAAACAAAGCCTGCATTCTTCTATCATGAGCTTCAGGATCAAAATCACCATCTAAGTCATCATCTTGAAAACCCACATCTGTATTACCAGTTATTTCCTTTAATTTTTCGATTTTTTCTTCAATTTCCTTGCGCTTTAACTCTTGAAGTTTCTTAATGTCTTTCATTTTTTCTTCCTTCTCTTTTACTTTTCTTTCTTTTGTTTCTTGCCTTTTGACAGACCTTTTATCATCTTTCCACCTCAGGGAGTTCTCCATTGTTCTTGGATACCTTTTGATCTAATATAATTGTGTTATTAATATACAAATTATTAAGATTCCATGGTACTTACAAAATCCTGATCTGGTTCTTCAAATCTGAAATTATATTTGTGCTCAAACTCTTCCTGCTTTTCTATGGCTTCCTCATCACCAGATAATGAAGCATCAGAATGGACAATTTCATCATATGTTGGGATATAATTTTCATCTTCATTCTCTAAAAACCTTTAAAAAAATATAAAATAAAAACTTAATTTGTTGTTTTTACCTTTTCTTCAAATATAGTCCCTTAAAAACTGTTCCCCCTTATCCAATTTAGGATTATTCCAATATTCCTTCAATGGTTTTAACTCAGATTCAGTTGCTTTATCATTCAATTGCTTCTTTTGTCCTACAAGCCATTCCTTAAAATCTTCATCATTCTTAGTTATTTCTTCCTTGCTTTTAACCCTTTTCTGGAATAAACCACCCCAATTTTCGTCATCTTCTCCCTCAACCCCATCAAGAGCCTTTTTCAGATTCTCTTTAATCTTCTTTTGTTCTTCTACATATGTTGGTGATTGAGGACGATTATCTTCATTTTCATCTTCACTGTCACTTAATTTCCCACCCTTTTCCAAGATTATATTACGTTCGTAATCCTTAAGAAACACTGGTTGCTCTTTCCTCTTCTTATCTTTCCTTGCAGTTTCATTTTTATCATGGAAAAACTTAACGTTTTCATCGTATATTCTAGGATCTTTGTTTTTTAAACAAGATAAGGTTTTATAAAACTCTTTCTCGACTTCTTTAGTTAATTCTACACCATCTTCATCGTCTTCAGAAGAACTAGATGATCCATCAGCGTCTAAATTAACATTTTCCTCCCCATATTTGGTTTTTACTATTTAAAATAAAACAGCTGCTTAAAGAAGATATATTTAAACGATAATGTTACTTACGTCTGTTTAATTCCTCTTTTTTACGCCAATTATCGTAGTTTTTGGCGTACTCATTGTTAGGCTTAAAATTAAATTCTTCGTCTAAATCATGATCGAATATTTTGGACATTGTGAATTTGTAGGTTAAGTTGAAAAAAGCATGCTTGTCAAATTTAGTTCAAATGCAACGTAAGCTTCCTTTGTTAACCGCTAGAGGTCCAATTGTTAAAATTTAAAAATAAAGCAATTTAGATGTTTAAACAATTTTATTGAACAATTAGTATAAAAATGGGAATAAATAGGAGTACGTATAATAAATTATGTGTGCGCTGGAAGGCGGGATTTACGAATTTCTTCCATATGAAGAGCTTTTTTCCAGCAATGTTCATCCAAAGTGGATTTTCCTTCGGAAATGCATACTAATCTTGCTAAAACCAGTAAGTTGTGCAAATTATCTGCAGATATATTCTTTTCTTTTTGACGCATATTAACAAATTCTTGCTGCACTAAATCCTGGATTTTGTCAGAGATTTCATATTTAATTAATCTGGCAAAAGTGAGGTACACTCGTAATTCATTCAAGAGATCATTATTTAGGAACTGTTTAGCTGCTTCTACGATTTCTGAAAACGTTCTGAGACAAGTTTCATCAGGTTGTAAAGTAATATGAACATCTGGAGTCAACATAGATTTACCTTCTGATAGAATTAAGAATGGGATATCAACTTCATATTCTATGGGATAATAGTTGAAATCATAGGCTATTTTTTGGTTTTTAATACAGGATGCAATAGCTTTTATGTTGTTTACACCTGCTGCATTGAGTTTTCCATCAGTTAACTTAGTTTCGTCAAGGATAAAATGTGTGTTTTTGGATAACTGTAATATTCCACTTGTTAGGCGGTTACAATCGTAATCTTTTTTTGGTATGAAGGTCTGGTCATTTAAATTCTCTAAGGTCATTGGGAAATAATGTGATTTTGGTACCAACATTTCTATAAATTCATATAAAGTTTTGGTGTAGTCAATTTTTTGCATTATAGGTATGTTAGTGATGTTTATTGAGAATTTTCCCAGTGGCATGAAATCTTTACGCAAATAAACATCAGATATGAGGTTACATATTAGATAATCAGCTGCTAAATCATCACCTAGTAATAATTGTGTAAATAATATCATTAATTCTTTCTTTAAAAACAGCATTCTTTCACTTGTTAAATTTTGTGATGTAACCAAAGGATTTAAGTGTATTATTTTTTTATATTTAACACAATGTATTCTAGGCACTATAGATGCAGGGGGATGACTACTTTCAATTTCCATTCTACTTTCATCCTCCTCCTCGTTTATTGTCGCTAAGAATGGATTGCATGAAAGAAAACCTACTATTTCCACTGTATCATTAAGTTTTAAAGTATTTGTTTCATCATATACCTTAACATGACATTTTTTACCCATTCTATCTGGTAGAGGAAAATTCAGAATGTGTTCTTTGGAAACTACAGAGGAATTACCTTTATCACTACTTGTTGCTTCAATTTTTTCCTCTGTACATTGTTTTTTATACAGTTCTGAATTTTTAACAACTTCTGTTTCCATTTCCTCATCTTCAAGTGATCTCTTGTCTGTTTTAATGTGTTCCACTTCGTTAACATCACTTTTACACTTATTAAATTCCTCTTCCAATGAATCGACCCATTTATTAACCCCTGGAGTGGAAATAACAACATAAGTCTGCCTTTCACTGGTTTTATTATTTTCATTATCATAATCAACATCTTCATTATCACTTTGCAGTATAACATCACTGTATTTCCCATTTTTCACATACTTCTCATTTGTATCCCTATTAGTGACTTCGTATTTCTCCAAGTAATACTCAGGATTCTGCATATCCTGTATCATACCTTTAAATCTAACCAAACTCAAGTTTTTTATATTATGAACTTCGTTTACGTTTAATAGAGGAATGGAGTTCCAAAAATCTTCGTTTTCCAGCTTCTTTAACCATTCTTCTTCGTTGTTTATCAAAATTTCAAGCGTACAGGACATTTTTTTTAATAAATATAGCTCCGTACCATATGATTATCTATGCTCCGTACACATAGACAACTCTATGTCCGTACAGAACAAATATGTCGCGACGAAATAAGAATACGCGGGAAATATTTGACATTTAGCCAGTGTTGCCAATCTGTGAGTTTAGATTATTTATTTTTCCAATAATACAATCACAGAAGAAACCGTTCGAAACTCGCAAGAGTGCACTTTGGATACACTACAAGTTAACTTTGCGCGTTCGATTTCTCAGGACGGTATACACAGCAGTGACGGCTGGTGCACCATCCATGGATTTTGGGTATACCAATATTTCAGTTATTAGACATGAAACCCACACCAAATTTATAATAGTTTATAATTACATTAAATAGACAAGTTCGGCGCACAAACTGACTTACATTCTAGTAGTTCCCAGAGATAAAGAAGGTAGTTCCAATGTTGTATAATAAATTAAGGTGCGAATTTCAAATGTGGGAATTATATTATTTATTATTATTAAAAAAAAGATGGAAATTAATTTAGTTTGTGCGGGAAATTCAAATTTTCAATGTAGCCAACGTAATATAATTGAATGTTCCCAATAGGGAATTTTATTTTTTACCATTGGCAACATCGGTTGATGTTGCCAATGGTAAAACAATAAACTTCCCTATTGGGAACATTCAATTATATTACGTTGGCTACACTGAAATTTTGAATTTCCCGCACAAACTGACATACATTCTAGTAGTTCCCAGAGATAAAGAAGGTAGTTCCAATGTTGTATAATAAATTAAGGTGCGAATTTCAAATGTGGGAATTATTATTATTTATTATTATTAAAAAAAAAATATGGAAATTAATTTAGTTTGTGCGGGAAATTCAAATTTTCAATGTATCCAACGTAATATAATTGAATGTTCCCAATAGGGAATTTTATTTTTTTACCATTGGCAACATCGACCGCATTCCTTGCATATGGTCAATTTATTATCTACTATAATTTATCGACAAATTTAAAATTTTATTTAAAAAATCCAAATATAACAGATTTTATTCGATTTTAAATTTTTATTATTTATTTTATTAAACCTGTAATATTTGGATTTTTTAAATAAAATTTTAAATTTGTTTATAAATTATAGTAGATTATAAATTGCACCACTTTAATTTGAATTAGGTATCTCAAATAGGGGGGCCTGGAGGCGGGTGAGGCGACAGGAATAGTATATTACACTACAAGGCGAAGCCGATCGGCATCATGGCGCGCAGTTCAGGGCTCTCACACTTTCCGCCCGTGTAGTGTATACTATTTTTCTTGCTACCCGGCCGAAAATACAACCCAACCCAACCCGGCCGAAAATACGGGAAAAAATTAAATGTGTATATCGAAACATATTGATGCCTGCCCCGACATTTGCGGCACGAGCGAAGCCTTCGTAGCCCTTGTAGTGTAATATACTCGAAAATACGTTATTTCGTCCCCGATTCCAATGCATCAAACGTAAATTTGACCAATGCATCAAACGTAAACTTTCTGCCGTGGAATCGGGGACGAAACAACGTATTTTCGGCCGAGGTAGTAAGAAAAAACCATATACCTATAACTCCTAATAACTGAAATAATAACTTTTTTCGCAAACTTCAATTTAAATTCTGTTTGCGCCGAACTTGTTTATTTAAAGTCATTATATTATAAATTTGGTGTGGGTCCCATCATGGGACCCACATGGGACTCCCATGTCTAATAACTGAGATATTGGTATACATAAAATCCACCAGCCGCCACTGATACACAGAAATAAAGAAGGTATACAGGGCCGTTCCTGGCGAGCGTGCAGTGCTTGCACGCACGCAGGCGCATCATTTGGGGGGAGCAAAATTAAAGTGATAAAATATATATGGAAACAAATCTGCAAACAGACATTGGACATTTAACGCATGGTTAACTTTATAAAGTTATAATAAATTAATTAACTTACCATTATTTAAATTACATCCTAAAACAGTATATTATGTATCAAGTTTGATAAACGCCATTTTATACACGAATTTAATTTAGGCACGAGCGAGCTTGCGAGCGAGTGCTTAAATTAATGAGTGTATAGAAAAGTTTATAAACAATTGTTAAGGTGCATACTATACTATACTTTAACTAAAGTTTATAAACAATTGTTAAGGTGCATACTATACTTTTTCTACGACAAATACTTATTATTATCTTAAAATGATTTAAATCAAAAATTTGTATAGAGCGCCATCTATGAAACAATAGGGGAATCTGTGTGTCACCGTTAAATTCCAAATTTTTATATTTTATAAACACAGATTATAAAGGTTATAAATCGAAATGCATTTCTTGAAAATTAACAGTTTTTCACAGTGAAAGTAAAGAAAATGTTTTATGAGCACTTTACAGTGGAGTCCGTGCCCGAATTTAAGTTATAGTTTACTGCAGGCGAAATTAAAAGGTCAGTACAATGTTCATATAAACTTTTCAAATATTGGCGTTGAGAAACTATTTAATACTTTTGTATTTTTGTATTGAGATAATAAAGTAATTTTCACATTTAGTATTATTTTACAAGAAAGGCACTTTATTTTAACGATTGTATTACATTTGACAACTGTCAACCAACTTAAAACCAACTTCAGCCCGTGACTAAAAACCTGTTGCTAACTTCAGCCCGTGACTAAAGCGCCATAAAGCCACAACTTGTCAATGTGTATTTAAAATGTCACTTAGTGTCATGGAAACATGTACGATAATGGGCGTTTTAAAGGTGGGAGTAGAAAAAAATCCTTTAAAAGTAGATATTTTCGGCCACTGCAACAAAAAAATAAAGCAAATAGTCATGACTATTTGCTTTATTTTTTTGTTTTCTCTGTGCTTTTGAAACGTACGTTTTAATTGTTTGGATTTACGGTTTTCATTCATATTTTCCACATTAGTTCACATGTGCACAATGCATTGTAATATAATTATTATTATAATTATAATTTAAATTACGCGATTATCAAAATATATAAGCAGTCGTTAAATGCAATTACAATGGCTGCATGCATCAGATCAATATCATTAAATGAATCAAAGAATGATGTCAAATTGGCCTATCATAATGTCAAAATGACATATCAAACTGATGTCATAATGATCATAATGTCGACATATCATACTAAGGTCAAACTGATATACTGATATTATTTAAACATAAAATTAATATAATTTTAACATTTCGTAATGGGTATTAAAATATTGATATTTAACTAATGTCATAATGTAGAGTGATATTAATATCTCATGGTGGTTGACCTTGAGAGACGCTATAATATTAAAACAAATATAATAGAATTTGTAGCCTAGAAATTTTTCTAAATATATTTAGAATTTCCTGATATATCAGGAAAGTTATATCAAAATAATGTTATTTTAAGAAGCGATGACATTTTTTTGATATCTTTTAACGTATTAAATTGGTAAAATTTAACAGAAAAAAAATATTTTTTTTTTCCTGAACAAATTTTTATTTAATTTTTAAAGTACAAATAGTCTTGTTGTACAGTTAAAACTGCAACTGTCCAATTTTAGAACGCTTTTAAATTTTTACCTTACATTGATTTATTAGCAATTGCTTATAATATATTTTTTATTATATAAAATTGATAAATAAAACAGTTATTCATTTATTTTCACTTCAATATCCTCTGCTAAAGTTTTGTGTAAAATCGCATTTTCATGCAAGTCTGTCTCTATAGTTTCTAGTTTCATCATTTGCGATTCTATCATTGCTTTAAATGGGCTATTTTCGTATTTATCACAACATCTCATTTCCCTAAAAAGATTAAAAGTGGGTGGTGCTTCATCTTCCTGCCTTAAAATGGAATTAGACTAAAGTCTCTAAGGTTTCACCTGAAAACTCCCAAAATTTGCTGTGGCGTGAGTTCGCCAAATGTTGTCATTATATCCATGTTTTGGCAGTAATTTTCGTGACCAAGTTGTGGTAATATAATGTTTAAACCCCCGCCAGGCACCCATTTTCTAAAAAAAAATGTCAAAAAATATTTGGTGACCCCAGTTTTTTATAATTACTCTACTGTTTGTATAACTCTCCTACGCCCTCTATGGAAAAAATGTTGCACAAAAAAGTACAATGGTAATAAATCCTCTGTAGGCACAGGTAAATCTTTTTTGAAATTAATTTTTACTAAATACATTTTATTTCTATCTATAGTATCTACCTAAAATTAATTTTTATAAAGTAGGTATATAACAAAATAAATAAGAAAAAACCTACATATCTTTTAGGACTTTTATTGCTTGCTGTTTCCCAAGGTAAAAATCTATCTCTATCAAATTTTTCAAGCAACTCATAGTCAAAAAACAACTGAAACAAAACTGTAGTCCATGTATATGTGTGTAAATTATCTTTGGGTGAGGCATCTAAAAGCTAAATTCATATAAAATTAAGGGGTTTTATTATAACTTTCTAAAAACTTACAGTGAAGAATTTTGGTCTCATAATTGCAAATATTTGTACTCTTCCATAAGTTACAATATCACTCTGTAATGTTAAACATCTCATTAAATATTTAATAAAGTCTATTTTGGACATAGGGCCTATTAAAGTCATGCAAGGTTCTAAAATATACCATGTAAAATAAAAAACATAAGATTTATAATAAATTAACCATCTGTCCATTTTTTTCTAGGGACGTTTTTTAACAATAATTCAACTCTATTACTATGATCAATTTTGTCCATCCAAGAATACCTATGTAATAAAAACAAGTCTTTTGTAAAAATCTCCACTTTTCCCTTATACTCCTTATCAAAATCCTGAAATCAAAACATTCATATACCCTTCATCCAATAACTTAACTTCAACTACCTTTAACATTTCTCTAAACTCAGGACAACTTTCATACAACCTAATTAAAGGAATTTTTTTTCTTAACAACTCTGAACTGATAAACCCCAAACCGGCATTTGTTTCACACACAATCTGATTTGTATTATTTTTAATAGCCGGCATAACATGCCTCACTGTTCGTCTTGCTATTTTTGCGCAAATTAAGTACAAATTATCAGTTAATGTTTTCCTCTTACAATCTAAATATTTTTCCGGTATAAACTCTTTTATTTCTGCTAAATCAGGGTCTTTTCTAAAGAAGTTGTTTATTTTTGTTGTGTGACTTTTACCGCTTTTCTTTACGGGTTTATATACGTTTTCTTCAATTTTAGAGCAATATTTTCGATAAACTGGACAACTTAGAGGTATTTTAAGTGTTTTTTGTATGTTCATTTTTAAATAAAAACATTTATAAAAAAGTGAGGTTATATTGTGAAAAAAACTGGGTTATGTTTGCCGAAGTTCAAAAGCAGTGTTGCCAACAGATTTTACCAATTGAGGGTGTGGAACAGAGACAAGCACTGCCAGATTTTTAAAATCAAAATGCGGGAGGTTAAAACAATAACATTTTATTCAGACAAAATCATAAATTTTGGTCGCACATAGGAGATTCCAACTTTTAATCAAAACTAATTGCCTTCCTTCCTTCCTCCCGTAAAAGATTAACAATACGAAAACCCAATTTATAAACCGGGCTTTAAGCTTTGTTTCTACTCTTTTAATAATATCGTTTCTTTTAATGGCCAAAAATTTGGCAAATTCCTGACAGTAAAGTTAAGCATTTATATGAATAAAGTTATGCATGTATATGTATATGAATGCATTCATATACATGTATTTCAAGATTTTCACAAGGAGTAGGAGGGAAAGGAAAAACCGGAGATTTTTACAAAAGACTTGTTTTTATTACATAGGTAATGATGTACAAAATTGATCATATAGTTATATCTTAGATCATACATACATACATACTTGTATAAGAATCTAAGAGTTATAACTCTTAGATCATATATATATGATTACGTTAAACAGTTGTCTATAATTATATCATTCGATATATAAAATGTTTTGCAGAAAAAACAATATACAGGGTGTCCCAGAACTCGCGCCACAGAGAAAAAGGGGGCGTGCCGATAGCAATGGAGATGCCAAATTTAAAAATAAAAAATTTCTAGGTAATAGTGTAATCGAATGAGAGCAAAAAAGCGGCAGCCAATACCGAGAGCTCTCGCCTAGGTTAAACGTAAGAGCTTTAAAAATTGCTAGGAGACGATAGAACATTGTATTAAAATAGTATATTAAAGTACAAGTTGCAGAAGGCCACATATTCTCGCACGAATTCGAAATTTGGCCTCGAGCGACGAAGGAGCGAGTGGACGAACGAATGAGTGCGAGAATAGCCTTCTGCAACGTGTGATTTATACTATTTTCTCGATTTTAACTTTTATTTAGGTTTTTTTAATTGTTTTGTGGTCGTTGTTAGTTAGGGGATTTTTCTCGCAAAATGTCAGTTGGCAACACAAAATGACAATATTTGTTATCCTGCACAAGTACAACCTGAACTGCACTTTTACACATTAAACTTAAAATTTTGCATTAAAATGCATTGTTGGAGCAAACTTTATATTACAAAACAATAATAAAGGCTTCATTTTCAATAAAAGTAATGAATTTGAGGTTATTAATCAGTTTGACATTTTGGGGGTACCAATACTTAAAAACTAAATGTTACCAAAAATCGTTTAAGAATGAGCTTCATTCTTCAACGATTTTGCGTGCGAGAATATGACATTCTTACATAAAAATCGAGAAAAACATTTAAAAATCTTTTGGCCAACTGTATTTACTAACAAAGAACTGTTCTTTGTTTACTAAGTTGTCAAAAGCTTTCAAAAATGAGGTTATTATATACTTCAGAACGCCAATGTTTTAAAATAACGATTAGGAAAGGGCTGGGAAAAAACTCGCGTTGTCTCCCTGGCGTTGCGCCCACACTAAATAAATAAATAATTATCATTTCAGTATAATCATCTAAGGAAAATATTATTTATAATAACTTAATTTATAACCTAATATAATATTAATGACAGGAGTTTGACAGCAGTGTCACAATGAATTGGATTCCAGTGGACCAAATATTTTACATATTTTTTATTATCAACAATGCAACCTAACAGTAGCGTGCAAAGGTGATCGGGGGCCCCCCCGCAAATTTTGAGCTGGGGCCCCTTTGTCACTTATACCACCCAATGTGGTTCTCTACGGGGCCCCCCTAAGGTCGGGGGCTCCCCCGCACCGCGGGCCCTGCGGGGCCCGTCCTGCACGCCACTGCAACCTAAGTATCCTAATAATAATTCCCTATGGCCATCTATTGGGATTGGCTATCGTTTTTTATTCTTATCTCGCTTATCCTTTGCGTTCACAGCAAACGGAAAATTATAGAGGTGTATAGGATGACGCCACGTTTGAATATCGATTTCTAAATCTCCCTACGGTATAGAGTTGTATTCGTCAGTCGAGCGTTTCAATACTCTCCACAGTATAGAGGTCGTAATTTCACTTTTGAACTAGTATTAATATAAAAATTATTTTATGCTTAAAAAAACTATATACGACATGATTGTGATTTTTTTCATTTTATTAATTAATTAAGCTGTGTTGAATATTTTTCCTAAAGGAATAATTGCCAATTAATGCGATTAATTCATTTGTTCGTAGATGCTACAATAACTTGCACTGGTGTGTACTTTTTCATCAACCAGATTTAAATATTACAAAATTAACATATACCAGTGGAGATAGTGCAGGGTCTACCAACAGACCTAATTACTAAATTATTAAAGTTTAATAGCATATCGATCATTTTTCAACATAACCTCTTAAATTTTTAATACAAATATAGGTACTTTATATAATACATAAATATACTTAACATCATATCCTCTGTGCTTTACATACCTGAGTTGTTACGGTAAATAAAAATCAGACAAAGGAACCAAAGAAAGGAACTATTTTTAACAAAATCATATGGAGAAATGAGAAAATTCATCCATCAAAAGATCAAAACTTCTTGCAATATTACACCCTCTTTTTATACTCTCAGAAATATTGACTAGAACAGTATTAGAGAGACTCCAGTTTCTATAACTTGGTAGAGTAAAGAGAAGTCGAAACCGTTGCGATATTGCATTGCGCTGTTTTTGTATAATTCTCGGGGACATTAACGAAAATCATTGCCAGTAAAATTCGAAAAGCTTGAGTTTCTATGTCTCTGAGGAGAATAGGAATCCGAAGTTGCTGCACCATTGGACTGAACCCTTTTTTAATAATTTCTAGAGACATATATGACTCCCAGACTGCAATGAAGGTTCGAAAATATTCCAGGAATATTCCCTATCGCCTAGGAATAATCCGCTTCATTCTAGGAATATTCATTGGGAATATTCCTAGAATGATCCTCTAAAACTTCCAAGCATCATCTAAGAATATTCCCAGTGAATATTCATTAGTTTAGTTGCAATACCTCTCACCGTTGCTTACGCACGCTTAATAACTATATATACCGATAGGTTAATAATATTAGTTGGAGATGTGCGTCTGTGATGGCACAGCCAAACAATGATTAGAGTGGGACTGATCTACTCAGTAACTCAATAATGGCTATACTTAAGTTAAGTTCCTGGGTATAAGAGGCAATAAGGGCTGGGAATAATCCCCAAATTATATCAAGGAATATTCCCCTAACAATCCTTGAGTCTTCTGCAGGCATATATATGGAATATTCTTTTTATGATGCCTGGATTAACCAAAAAGCGGACATTTGATTATGCCAGGAATATTCCTGGGAATATTCTGGGACGATTGGAATATTCCTGGGAATATTCCTGACATGTGCAGGGAATGTGATTTTGCGGTCTGGGCTGCACCATTCGACAGGGTCGAGTTTCTACTCCTCTGTTGAATATAGAAAATCAAAATAATGTATCTTGTAAGACACCATTGAGTTTGACTTTAAATATAGTCGTGCATAGGTATAGAGCCGAAAAATATAAAAACAAAGCACGATTCAATACAGTTATGATAAAACTTTAAGATTTGATATTCAAACGCGGAGTCATCCTATACACTTCTATAATTTTTCGTTTGCTGTGTTAGACAATTTTAATTTTCAAATATGTGTTTCACGTTACTTTCAGCAAGTTCCGGTTTTCTATGTGGCGCGAGTTCTGGGACACCCTGTATATATATAAGTAAGTAAAATTTACTACAGTTTTGCATATACATGCATGTATGTATATGTTGATACGGTTCGAATATACATAAATTTATATATAAATTTAATTTACCACCATGCAAAGTTCGATATAAAATTTTTTTAGTTTGATAAGTCGCCGAGCGATGGCCCTACCTGTTCATTAGACTGGGCCAAAAAAATCAACTATTTTTTTTTGAAAAGTTTATAGATCTAAAATATGGTTTGGCGTGACAAAAAAAAAATATTGTGAAAGTTTGAGTCCATAATACCTATTAAGCAGTGGCGGATTTACCAGCAGGCTGAGTAGGCTCGAGCCTAGGGCGGCAGATTTTGGGGGCGGCAAATTTGGGGAACGATTTTTTTTTACCTCATAGAAATCAAAAAGATTTTTCTATGACGGTTTTCTGATGTCTTACAGATAGAAATCTGCAACAAATTTTGTCGATGACTTTTCTCTCTCACTTGTCATTGCACATTCCGAGAGTAGCAAACTTCCATATTCTAGAGTAAAACAGCTAGTTCGCCGCCCCTCAACCAGTAATCGGCCTCTCGCCTCTGCGCCCTTTGCCCACACTTCTTATGAGTGAAAAGAGCGAAATTGTAAAAAATATGCCCCTCTTTCCACTAACAACCCATACATGCCAGTCTTACTACTGGTTAGAGGCTACGAACTGGATGGTTGGTATATAATTTTTCGATTTTTATTTGAATATAATGAATAATTTAGTGAATAATTTTACCGCTTTCAATTTTATGTATTGACTATTATGTGTTTCACATGCACTAGTAGCTTCAGAAAATTCGATTGGAATTCAAAAAAAATCTTGAACAGTAATAGCGAGATAGTCTTAAGTCAAAAAAAATTTTTAACGAAATTGTTGCATTGTAAAAATAATGTATGATATGACAATTGTTGAGGCAAGGGCGGCAATAACTATTCAGCCTATACCTTGAAAATTTGTAAATCCGCCACTGCTATTAAGAAGTCTATCATAGCAATTTTATTTTTTTTCCTTAGCAAGTTTTAGGCTCAGAACTCCCAAACGATTGAGTTTAATAAAATTTTGTCAATTAATTGACTTAAAAATATTTTTTTAAGCAAATTAAATGCTCTACAAAAAAGGTTAAAGTGAAATTTTCCGTCAGATGAACAGTTTCCTTAAAATCATGCCTTAAAAATTGGTATAGTTATACCTATAGGTATGTATACATACAAAATTCCAAAGTTAAAAGATCAAATTGTAAAACTACCAATTTTTAAGGCATGATTGTAAGACGGTTTATCTGACGGGAAATTTCAATCAAACCTTTTTTGTAGAGCATTCAATTTTCTTCAAAAAATATTCTTAAGTCGATTTTGTTAAACTCAATGATTTGGGAGTTCTGAGACAAAAACTCGCTCAGGAAAAAAAATCTAAAGTTGCGATGATATATCATCTATAGACCTCTTAATATTAATATTATGGACTCAAACTTTCACCATAATTTTTTTTTGTCACCCCAAACAATATTTTGATATACATTCCAAAAAAAATAGTCGATTTTTTTGGCCCAGTCTACTGTTCATGATTTCAAATACTTGGTAAGTATATTCATGATTTTAGTGCTGCATTAATAAAGTATTCGAATTGAATAAATCATAATTTGCACACGTATGTTTTAGATAACGGCCGTTGATTTATAATTATAATTTAAATTATACGGCGGTTCATCGATAATATTAATGATAGGTAGGTATTTAATACATATATGTATATATATATACATATATATGTATATACAGGGTGTCCTGGAAAAGGAGGTCAATCCGTTTACCATATATTCCTTGAGTTAAAACAATAAGACTTTCATAATACCATTTTTCAATTTAGAGCTTCATGTTCGATATACAGGGCGACAAAGTTTGAAATTTAAAACTGATTTTTTTTAATAATTCGAGTAATTGATAAGATATTAAGTTTAAATTCGGTACACTACTTCAACATAAATAGTTACATTTTTGGAGACCAACAAAACAAAAAACAATTGTCAAATAAACAAAATAGGGGGGTTCAGTACTCACCGACTCCCCCTATTTTTTAGTACGTGCGCCAATGACTTCCAAACGGTATTTTTTCAGGTAATCATTTATTGTTGAACATTTTTTGTTTCTTATAAAATTTTGATAAAATGATTTGTTTTAGAGATAATTTGTAAAGTATGGGTCAGTCCATATGAAATTTTCAAAATTTAATTTTTTTTTTTTGAAAAAATTTAGGTCATGTGATAAATCAAAAAAAAGGTATCTAATAGGCCTTTAAAATAAGCTACCACTCACCTTTCTACTTTTAATAGTTTACGAGATATCGCTATTTTTGTAAGTACTTGCAAGACCCAAATTTATCGGAATTTTTTGATTTTCAAAAATCAATAAAACAAAAGCCACCTATCGAAAAAAATTCATATATGGGATTTTTGAGATTTTTAGTGAAACAAATTTACCAAAAATTATCAAAATCGGAGATGGTGGGGGAAGAACCTTTGGTTGATTTGATATGGACTGACCCATACTTTACAAATTATCTCTAAAACAAATCATTTTATCAAAATTTTATAAGAGACAAATTTTTTTTAACAATAAATGATTAACTGAAAAAATACCGTTTGGAAGTCATTGGCGCTCGTACTAAAAAATAGGGGGAGTCAGTGAGTACTGGACCCCCCTATTTTGATTATTTGACAATTGTTTTTTGTTTAGTTGGTCTCCAAAAATGTAACTATTTATGTTGAAGTAGTGTACCGAATTTAAACTTAATATCTTATCAATTATTAAAAAAAATCAGTTTTAAATTTCAAACTTTGTCGCCCTGTATATCGAACATGAAGCTCTAAATTGAAAAATGGTATTATGAAAGTCTTATTGTTTTAACTCAAGGAATATATGGTTAACGGATTGACCTCCTTTTCCCGGACACCCTGTATATATGTGAATACACAAACAAAAATCATGAACAGGTACGGCCATCGCTCAGGGACTTGTCAAACTAAAAAAAAATTATATCGAACTTTGCATGGTGCTAAATTCAATATAGTTATATATATTTTTTCAAATCATATCAACTTATATATTAAGTAAAACATATATATGAACAATTGTAGAAAATTTTACTTATACATATATATTTTTTTATGCAAAAAATTTTATATATCAATTGAAATAATTATGGAACATATGGCGCCTCATAAAAAACCCTTAATTTTATAGGAATTCATAATATATATATATATATATTATTAAGGTTTTTTTTTATTATAACTTTTTAAGTGAAGAATTTTGGTCTCATAATAACTGTAGTCCGTGTAGGTATATGTGTGTAAATTATCTAAAAGCTAAATTAATTAAGCTTTTAGATGCCCAAAGATAATTTAAACACATAGTTATACCCACAATCCAATTGTGGGTATACCTACAAATGGACTACAGTTTTGTTTCAGTTATTTTTTGACTATAAATCGCTTAAAACAATTGATAGATATATTTTTACCTTGGGAAATGGCAAGCAATAAAAGTCACAACATACCTTTTTTTATTAATTTTGTTATATATTTTATAAAAATTAGTTTTAGGTAAATACTATGGATAGAAATAAAATGTTTTCCTGGGCAATCACCCAAAACGTGTTTTTATATTTTGTATTTATTGTAAAATTAAACGAATAACATTTTTTTCCTGGAGTTTCCTGGCTAAGTAAAAACTACAATAATTATTTCTTTTTATTTCTCATTGCCATCAGAAGTTCAAATCTCCTATTGCTTCTGACACCAGTCAAAACTTTCCTGCGCTGTTCCATAGAACTTCTGATGGGTCTGCTTTTAGTAATAATAGCTTTAACTTGATCTTGCTTTGTGATATTTTGATCGGTCCTAAAACCGAACCTTGTGGCCTGTTTTGCAGATGTGTTCTGTCCTTGAGCGGGTCTTACCGGAATTTGCGATTTAAGATTTACCGGCTTTTTTATATGGGGATCATTCTTGATTTTGCTGACAATGGTTGAGTTTTTAATTTTGCTCATATTGGCGACATTTTTTCTTCCTGCTTTTGGTGTTCCGTTATATTCTGGTTGTTCGCCGGAGGTACCGCTGGAGAATTCCAACATTTTCTTCGATTTTTTGTTCATCGGGCTAACCGCTACGCCCAGAGTAGGTTTTTGACCCGATAGTAACATTTTGGCGCGCTCGTTTTTACGCTCTTGCATTTGTTTTATATCCTCGACTTTATTCAACGCCCTTTGATGTATTAAAGCAAAGTTCGGTATTTTAGTACGTAAGATTTTCTTATTGGAGTCACTAGAAACGTTCTTGGACACATTATTAACACTCATTTCATTTTCCAAGAACCTTTTTTCAAGTGTTTTCTTAAAAAATTTCTCTTTTTTATCTTTTGGAGTACTTGTGCCACTGGGAGGGGTCTGTATCTTCGCCTTCAGTCTCTTCAAAAACGGCGTAACGTGTTTGGAAACATTTAAAGCTTTTCCAGCTTCTTCAAGCACCTTTTGAGGCGATTTGGCCTTCTCTAAACGCCCACCAAACAATTTTATCGATTCATCTAGACTTAAATTAAGATTATCCCCTGGCGTCATTGTAAATCCCATTAGGATAGATTCGGATATTATCGAGTTATCATCTTTTGTCACCGTAAAACTTGATGATCTTTTGGATGGACCTGCCAAATTTTCCAACTCTTTTTTTGTCACTGTGAAACTGGACGACTTTCTAGTTTCTTTAGCTCGCGATCTTTTGGATTGACCCGGCAAATTTTCCAATTTTGCATTTCGCCCAGTAGGCAAATTCTCTTCCATTTCCATTTCACCAGATGCAATCGTAAAACTTGAAGACTGTCTTCTTGGTTCTTCTGAATAAAGAACAGTAAAACTCGCAGATTTTCTTTCTCCTAAAGAAGGCACATTTTTACTTTCCAAAGTAAAACTAACACTTTTTCTCAAATTTTCTTCGACTCTAGTTGGTTTTTTTAATATTGGCGATTTGTCAATAATTGAAGAATAATTGAGGAATGAAGACCTTGTGGGGTTTTCAATTGTGGTTGTTTTACCTTGCGTTACTAAGTTTGCCCCTGTTATTATCGATTTTCTTGGCGTTTTCTTTGTTTTGGGTGAATATTTTTTTAATAATGAAGATCTTGTGGGTTTTCCAGGAGTTGTGGTTATCGATTTTTTTGGTGTTTTTCCGTTAGCAACTATAAGGGATCTTGATTTCTCAGGAGTTTTAATTACTGCTTCATTTATTATTACAACTGCATGTTCTTTATTCCATGTCCTTCTTTTAGTTTTCTTTATTATTGTTGAATCCTCTTCTTTTTCTTCAATTTTGCTTGGGCCAGGTTTTTCTAAATTCCAAGTTCTTCTTGTGTTTACTTTTGGCAAAATTTCTTGAGTGAAAGTTGAAAATGTTATATTTTCTTTGTTGGGCGATTTCTTTACTTTTGGTGAATCTTCATTTGTGAATGTGGAAGATCTAGTCAACATGGGTTTTTCTTCAATTGTGGTTTTCTTCACTATTGGTGAATCTTCTTGTGAGAAAGCCAAAGATCTAGTAAACTTGTGTTTTTTTTCAATTGCAGTTTTCTTTCCTTTTGGTGAATCTTCATTTGTAAATGTTGAAGATCTGGCTAGACCACCTGTTTGTGATTTTTTGTTTTCTTTAATCATTGATTTACTTGGTGTTTTATTTGGTTTTGAAGAATCCTCATTGGTGAAAGTCAAAGATCTTGTTGATTTTCCAGGAGTTGCACTTCCTTCAATTGTTGCCTTTTTGTTGGGTGTTTTCTTCACTTTAGGAGAATCTTCTATTGTAAATGTTGATGATCTTTCCAATTTACCAGGTGTTTGTAAAGTTTTCTTATCTTCATTTGTAAATAATTGAACTGCATTTTTATTATTTCTAATAGATCTTCTATTTTCATTTGGTGATTCAGTACTTTCTTTAATTTTAAATGATGAAGATCTTTTTGCAGCTGGTGTAGCATTTCTGTTGGAAATCTTCCTTTTCACTTCACCTGGTGTTCTTATGTCTATTGTTTCAGGACTTGAACTTATAGAAATAATTGAAATATTTTCTTCCTTGTTTTCATTTAAACTTTCTTCATTTACCTTGTCGTAAGTTTCTCTTCTCACTTTTTTTGGTTGAGTGGAGTGGAATCTTACAGATTTTCTTGTAATTGGAGGTGTAGAATAATTCTCCAAGCTTCTAGAGCGTCTTTTCTTCAATATGCTTTGGGACCTGTGCTTTGAAGATAGACTTCTTCGAACAGGGGTTTTCGTTTTTAAAGTTTCCTCCTGTAGGTTACTACATGGTGGATTTTTTAGGCTAGTTGGAGAATTTTTAGATTTTTCTTTATTACTGCATTCTTCATCCACAAAAACAGTTTTTATTTCATTGTTGGCGAACTCGGGGGAGGATATTGCCTTTCGACTTCTTCCTCTACGATCATGTCTACGATTTTTTACTGATTCCACCTTTGATTTATCAGTTTCTGAGTCAGTTTCACTTGTTTTTAAAGGCTGCATATTTTCTTTATCCTTTGATCCTCTCTTCTTTTTTCTACCTCTTTTCTTGACCACTTTTTCAGGCTCCGAAGATGTACTTTGTTCAATCTCTTTTGAATATTCATCAAAACCCATATTAATCTTCGGCAGAAACGCTTTTTTATCATTTATACGTGTTTTTCTTGTGGTTTTTTTAAACGAAACATCACTGTCACATAAAGTTTGGTCAATTCTTAATTCTTCTGTATGTCGGATTTTCTTTCTTCTGCCGCTTTTTTTTTTTGGCACAGATGAATGGTTTTGCACTTCTGTTTCCATGCTATCAGTCCCTGTATCACCTCTTGAAGACATTTTAAAGTGACTGTAAAAAAAAACAATTTTAAAATTTAACCTTTAAATTAACTAGAAAAAGCAATGTTTGATACAAATAGAATGTTAATTTACCTTAAAATAACTAAATTGGACCACTAATTACATTAAAAATGTGATTTAAAGTAAAATAACCTTTAAAATCTGTTAAAATAACGCACTTTAAAACACAAACTCAGTTCGCAAACAACAGCTTTTATTTCGAATGTGACGGTTACAAAACTTGCAATCTGATTGGCAGAAACCATAGATTTGGTCCATGGCCGAAACATTTCTGCCAACATAAGACCTATTATGACATTTGTCCTTATTTATTCAGTGGAAAAAACATAACCTCACTTTAGAGTCAAAATGAATTCTTTGTTGAGAATCGTAAAGAATGCCCCTAATATAAAAAATATTCAGGCTAGGGGTGTGTCTCTGACGACACAGTTAAATTTAAAAGAAAGTAAGTAATATTTTAACATTTAAATAATTGAAATATACATAAAATCTTATTTTTAGTTCGTGAGGTGCAAGAAGGTAAAACTTTGACTATATACGGTGAAACTGTGCCTTCACCAAGGGAACCTTACTTAATTAAGAACGAAAACCCCCATGTTTGCCCTCTGTGTGCTTTAGGAATGGAAGTTAAACATACTGATGTGTTAATTTTAAGTCAATTTTTAAGATCAGATGGTTGTATGCTACCAAAAAGAATTACAGGGTTGTGTAATAAGCAACAAAAAAAAATTTCGTCTTTAGTTACTATGGCACAGAAAGCAGGTTTGATGCCAAATTTAAACCCTGCAAATAGTAAGAAAGATCCTTCAAAGAGATTTCAGTGGAAGAAATATAATAAATACTTTGACGAAAGTACCATAGATCAGAAAAAAAACCATAAAAAATTAATAGAGTTTTCGTAATTTTGTTAATAATGTAATAGGTGAATAATAAGGATTAAAATTTTTTAAAGTTTTATTTATTATACACAACACAAATATAAGGCAACAGACTGTTAATTAATGTACAATTTGAAATTTTCCTCCTTTTTTATCTCAAGCAGTAACTGTTGCCAACAGTTACTGCTTGAGATAAAAAAGGAGGAAAATTTCAAATTGTACATTAATGACATTGACAGCTCTAACCATGGAGCCTACACACTGTACAGTACACAGGGAATACAAACTCCATGTACTATATATATATATATATATATATGTCACAGTCAGGGTAGCAATATTAAAACTATTAGCCTACACACTGTACAGTACACAGGGAATACAAACTCCATGTACTATATATATATATGTCACAGTCGTAGCAATATTATTGGACCTTTAGTTTTATTTTAAAACTTTAAAGATGCCTATAAAATTAAATTACAGTTTCTATTCAGGTAGTTTTGATAAGTTTAATAATAACTTTGTTACTAACCTTGTAGTTCCCATTTATTGTTACAGTTTCAGGATTTTAACTTGCAAAGGTACTACAAATTTGTGTATAAGTAGAAGTAATTATATGGTAGGTAATTTTTAGGTAGCAACATGTCACTGCCACTAAGAAATTGTACTACAAAGTCATTTTAAAAGATTTTTAATAGTCACACATGTGACTGCAGTCTTATTAGGCACAAGCAAATTTTACTTAAATGTTTACTAGGTACTTTAAAGTAACCTTCAGAGAAAAGCTTTAATACTAGTATCCCAGGGATTCCCTGGGTAAAATGTCAAACCCTGTTCAAACCAATAGATTTTTGTATTGGAATGTATTCCAAATTTCCAATACAAAAATTTATTGGTGTATCTATTCGTATAAATAGGACCAATAGTTGGGATTTATGGTTGTTCTATTGGGATATCCTTCCTTGATTTATTTGCTATCGGTCTCAATAGGGAAAATATACATAAATGTAGATGTTAGTTTTTCTCCCATATGACCCCATAGGTTTTAACAAAATTTTGTCAAATGTTTTATGGTTGCTTTATAGGGATATCCTTATACATCATTCCTTGGGTTATTTGCTATCGGTCTCAATAGGGGAAATGTAGAAGTTATGGTGTACTGATTTATATGCGTTGAATCCTCAAGAGCAGCAAGGAATGTATTTCCGAAAATCTATTTATTTTTGAAAAATTTTAAATTAGTTGGTATAGTGCCTAAATTTAATATTATTATTATTAATGATTTGCAAAGTTCGGTTGTACTCGGTTTGGAAAGGAGGCTACGCGCATTTGTTGTTCTTTTTTTATGGTTGTTGTGTTTTTGTCACAGATCATTAAGGTTTTTGTTCAAAAATTTGTGATGTATAACTCAACTTCATAGGTAAGTTCATAGAGTTATTATTATTTATTTTCATGTAATTACACTGTATTACCAGGGACCCGGACCCAAATGAAATAACGGGTTCTGTCCGGTTCCGAGATAAACGACAAATTTCGGTTCGGGTTCAGTTACGGTTCCAAAAAAAATATTTCTGTCCGGTTCGGACCAATCTTTTCGTTTAAACGGTTTTTTTCGGTTACAATTTTTTTACCATGTATAAATAAGTGCCTATAGTATACTTACCGCTACTTACATATAAAATGAAATTTTTTTTGTACATTTTTTTTGCGAAGTAATTAAATTTCTTTGTCTCTTTTTTTAAATCAGGTTCTTCAATTTAAGGCTCTTCATTCTCTTTTTCTTTACTTTTATTCCCTATCGGGACTTAAGGAACTTAAGTTATCCAAAAATAAAAAACTGAACTTTCAGCTTTTGTTCTTCTTTTTCTTCAAAAAACTGGAAAATTTATATTTAAAATAAGTTATCCAAAAATAAAAAACTGAACTTTCAGCTTTTGTTCTTTTTCTCCAAAACCTCTGTTGGGGGAACTAAAAATTTGAGACCAGAAAACAGCCTTTCAACGCTTACTTAAGTAGCTACCTACCCATTTTAAATTTAAAAAAATATCAATCAATATCAATAAATTAAATTAATTGATTTAATTGTTGTCGAATTAAAATTTTATTTAATTTATTTTTTATTTTCTATAAATTGGTAGGTACAGGGTGATCCCCTATAATGTCGCCCCCCTTTAACTTTTTTATTTTAAGTGTACCAAAAAATTTAAAAGTGTGGTTATGTAGGAACTAAAAAATACTTTTTTTCTACGTATAAAGAAAATTTTAAAATTGATCAGTATACAGGGAAAAACATAAAGCTTATTTTTTTTCAATGGATCACCCTATATATGAATTTATTTTTCGATTCCTTGTAAAATTCGGAGCATAATTTATATAACAAACCATATACCTAAATTCAACTGTTTCTGAAATATTCGCATTCGAAATGTCATCATTAAATGTTTTTTTAAACTGTTAAAAATCAAGAAGCCAAAATTTTTATTGAAAATAAATTACTATAGTGACATTATGTCAATATGTGTTGTTAAATAAGTAAAAATGGCGTACTCAGACAGAGAAAGACAAACTATTTCAACTTATTATCTTAAAAATAATTTAAATATTTCAGAAACGGTTGAATTTAGGTATATGGTATGTTATATGAAATATGCTTAAAATTTTACAAGGAATCGAAAAATAAATTCATATATAGGGTGATCCATTGAAAAAAAATAAACTTTTTGTTTTCCCCTGTATACTGATCAATTTTAAAATTTTCTTTATACGTAGAAAAAAAGTATTTTTTAGTTCCTACATAACCACACTTTTAAATTTTTTGGGACACTTAAAATAAAAAAGTTAAAGGGGGGCGACATTATAGGGGATCACCCTGTACATATTTTAGATTTTTTATGAAAATAAAAATAATAATAAAAGTTTGACGTTTTAAAAGTATTAAAAAAATTCTTTAAACATTTTTTAAATTTTCTTAATAAAACTTATAAATTGCTGGATCCGCGCTGGATTGATGTTGATCCAGCAAAAATCCAGCTAGGTTAAAAAAACTGCTGGATTGCAATCCCTACATAGAAATAATAATGATATGCATGCCCCTCCAGAGTCTGGACTCCAGACGAGCAAAAATGGAGAGGTATGCAACATTTCTACCGATAACTGCTGGGACGCTGCGATGATACTCTATTGCGGAGAGGCGTCCAAACCGGTTACAGTGTTCTGTTCTCTGTTTTTTTTAAATTTTAATGATAACAATATTATTTTAATAAAAAATATGGCTTTAAATATTTTCATGTTTTATCATTTATACACAACACAAATATTAAGCATACTTAAAGCTAAGATTATATTCAGATTCTGAATTTCAGAAGCTTCAACTGTACAACGTGCAGTGCACACATTATGTGGATAGGAAAAGCGTCGTTCGGAAGGAGCGATATCGAGCGATATGTAAAGTAGGGGACACGAAATTTTGAACGTCATAATTTGGTTGCCCATGTATAAATCTGTTTAAATAGCAACAACCCTAAGTTTGCGTTCTGTCATTGTACACGTACAACGTTCTTAATATTTATATATATACTACTCTTTTTTGACAACTTTATTCTGAAATGTCAATATCAACATAATTAATAATTAATGAAAACTAAAAAAATAAGAAAGCTACTTAACATAATTTAAAATATTTTTTTAAATAAACATGTTTCAGTTTACTTAATTTTGTAAATAATAAGGCTTCAATATTTTTACAAGTTTTATTTATCATACACAACACAAATATTAAGCAAACTGCTTAAAACCATTCATATTAAATAAATTTTATAAGTAATGTTAAATAATATCACTTTTAACATGATTATTACAGATTATTTGAAATTATAATTGATACAATATATTAGTTATATACATTTCTTACTGACAAAAATTAATTATAAAACATAGTTAATTGAGTTCACAAAAACCAAAATTACTACCATGTATCATGCAAAAATTAATAATTCGTAAAACTATTTATTAAACACAAATTAATAATTATAATGATAATGTTGTGCTCTATCTGCCCCTAACATCCCTAATATTTATAATGTTTTTCTTATTTTTATATACAGCAAGGACTAACTTTATTATGAACTTGATTGATAAAAAATAACTTTTTTTGAAAGCAAAACCTCAAATTCCACTGTAGGTAAATTTTCAACTTTTGAAAAATTACAAGCAAACGCTTAATTTTTGGTTGTGCTCGGTTTATATATCAGGTCTAAAGTTATTTCTATTTCTATTCATTTATAATTTTAAACCAATGTGGAGGGCAACCCAATTGATTAAAACAAAATTATACAGGGTGTTTCTTAATGGGATGCTACAAAATTTATTATCTTTGAATTTTAACCTGATACAGACCAAGCACGGATTTGTAATCCAAGACCAAAAATTAAGTTTACGTGTCCGAGAGTTTAGCTGTGATATTTTCACCTTCCTACAGTGTTTGACTTTTAAATCTGACAGCTACAACCTTGAAGTGGTAAGTTTTGACAGCTCCAACCTTGAAATGTCAAAATCGTCGTAATTTGACATGTTAAGATGAATTTTTCGTTATTTTTATTATCAATATTATTATTTTAAGCGAAGAACGTGCTAGAGATATTTACAGGATAAATGCTTAAAAAAGCCATTTTAAAGCATATTTTACAATTTTACTTAAAATAGTAATGAAATAAAAATAAATTAATATAAAACATAACTACAAAAACATCAGTCCTATAGAATAATACTAGTATTTTTGATAAGGCTTGAAAATAAATACGCAAAAAATCCAAAAGTCGAATATTTAGAAATTTCGCACTATTCCAGACTATGCAATATAAAAATAATTCAGTCAAGATTCGTATAATAATGGACGTTAATAAATACAGCGAACTACAAATATAATTGAACTCTTTTTCTTCACTAATTGCTTATTTTTCGATATAATGAACATACAATCAAAGAAAAAACGAATTTTACCACCGAAAACGTTAAAATGATTAATTAGTTGATCCAAGATGGCGTCGGCGTGGTTTAAATATCAAAACATTCGGCCATCTTGGAAAAGTATGTTAGGTTAGAAAACTGTAATCTGTTTTGAAAATTTTAAGGTTAGGTTAATTGTTTTAACTGTCAAATAATGCGTAAAATCAGTTTTTTCTTTAATTGGCCTAACTGGGCTTAATAATTGGTTTGAATAACAATTTTATACACAGACTACAAACTAAGATACATAATGTTATATTGTTTTTGGATCTACTCAGATATTTAGAATAATTAATATTTTAGGTATTGTTTTAGTGAAACATCCTGTATTATATAATTATACGGTTCTCTTTGGAGATTTTTGTCGATATTTTTTTTATTTTAGTATATTTTCGGTGCTGAACGATCATTGACAATTTTTGCTCTTTTTAAAGTTGCTCCTCGTTTTATCTGATCCATTAAAGATTCATGGCAAACCTTTGGATCAGGCTAAAGAAAGAAAAAAATATTAACTGGTATTCAAAAATGCATTCTGTAAATTAAATCATTTGTATCAATTGCATTTACTATTTCAGGATCATTTGGAGGAAATGTTATGTTTTTAAATTTTAAAACTAGAATTATAACATCCCTGTTGCTTGAAAATGATTTCTATAAAACCAATCACACCGCATTTTCTCTCGCAATCTTTTGACGACAAGATTATTTTTTCAAAATATCTCGATAACAGTAAATACAATTAAAATTCGAATGAGTATGTTCTTAGAAACCCAAAAATAAATAATCTTAACAAGTTTAGCATAACAATTCAAACTTAAATGCAAAAAACTGTTTTGTTAGTATTTTTACACTCTCTAGACTTACAAAGTACTAAAATGTTTCATCATAGTATAAATTCTGTAAAATACAATACAATATATTCTGGAAAATAAACTTTAAATATTAAAAGTACTTACTTGAGCTTTACTATTAATAATCTGCCGTATTTTGTTCGCCTTCAGCTGTGTAGATGGAGAATTATTTCCGATATGTTGCTGATTTAATTTGGCGTTCAAAGAGTCCAAAAAACTTTGCCCGGGACCGCGTTTTTGCATCTGTTGTTGATGCTGACCCAAGTTCACTTGAACCATGTCCTCGGAATGTCTTCGCGAAGTTCTGGGGCTTAAAGTCGGCGTCAATTTTGCACTTAATGTCGCTATGAATCCCGAAGATACACCACCCGGTCCTAAAGTTAATACATGTTTGAAGAAGGTGGTAATTGGGGATTTGCATGTTTTTTTTAACATTTTTTGAGACCCAGGAAATTAGTTATTAGGGTTAGTAGTGTTTTATTTTCCTTCCTCAAAGTTTATTTACATTTCTAAAGAATCTTTTGTTATTTGCATTTAAAAATAAATTTATTAAAAAAAACTGTTTTTGGAAGTTAGAAGTATTTATGATTTTAAAATCAAAAAACAGATATCAATTCAAGTAAAAATAACTAATTAATATTATTTATTTTTGCTTGAAAAGATTTTTTTACACTGATTGATTTCTAAATTAATAATTTTAACATTAGAAATAATTCCTATTATTCTTTTAAAACAAAAAAACTTTTAGAAGGTGGAATAAATTTTATTTTTATAAATAACAACTTCTTTTAACTTTTAATAAAAAATAGATATTCAATTTTTTTTATAACACTTTAAAACGGAAATAAATACTTTTAAATGCAAATAACTAAAGACAAAGGATCCTTTGTCTCGAGTATCAAAAACATTGAGCCCTGCTGAAAATGACGGATGATTGCGGATATAAATTCTTCGTCAAAACCGGATAAAAGCAGATGATTGCGGGTATAAATTCTTCGTCGAAGCCGGATAAAAGCAGATAAAAGCGGGTAAAAATATCATCTGATAACATCTGCTATTGTCCGCATCGCTATATCCGCGAACACCCGGTTGGTTGTGTTTTATGTCCGGTTAGTGCACCCCCGCAATCATCTGCAATCATCTGTTTTTAACCGTCTTCACTGTGTTTCGTTTATATCTGAATTTGTCCGGAATCATCTGCAAACGTCTGCGTACGTCTGTTTTTATCCGCGATTACCTGCATTTTTTTTCGTCTATTTTTGTCGGGTTTTATCTGCAAACGTCTGGTTTTATCCGCGAGCATATGCTTTTACCCGCGAACATCTGCAATCATCCGCGAACATCTGAAATCACCCGCAAACATCTACTTTTATCCGCAAACATCTGCTTTCATCCGCGAACATCTGCAATAATCCGCGAACATCTGCTTTAATCCGCAAACATCTCATTTTATCCGCGGACATCTGCTTTTATCCGCAAACATCTGCTATCATCCCCAAACATTTGCTTTTATCTGCAAACATCTGATTTTATCCGCAAATATCTGCTTTTATCCGCAAACATCTCATTTTATCCGCGAACATCTGCTTTAATCCTCAAACATCTGCTTTCATCCCCAAACATTTGCTTTTATCCGCAAACATCTCATTTTATCCGCGATTACTTTTTGGACCAATCAGATTTCAGAAAACGAGTGGTTTTTTCAGTTTTGCAGCGATAAAACTACTATTCAGGTGAAAAAACCACTCGTTTATACGAGTTGCATAACAACCAATTGGTTGCTATGATAAAAATAATTGTCACTGTTGACGTTTTTAATTTTAAAATTAAAATGTTAAAAAATATGCGTTTTGGTCCAAAAAATCATACAGAAATTGAATCAGCAGTTAAAAATATTCGTGAAATAGTCTTGCCGAATACCACTCGTGATAAAATTTTCCCTGAAAAAATTTTTGATTTTTATTTACTCAAGATTTTTCCTTGGAAATTTCGCTCGTGGCATTAACTTCAAACCACTCGCCTAGCGGCTCGTGGTCTTAAAAATTAATGCCACTTGCGAAATTTCCAAGAAAAAAACATTCGTATAAAAATCAAAAATTTTATCGGTAAAATTTTACCACTAGTGGTATTATATACGAACATCTGCTTTCATACAGTTTCACCCGTAAACATCCTTTTATCTGCGAACGCCTTATTTCATTCGGTTAGTGCACCCCCGCAAACATCTGCCTTTATCCGTAAACGTCTGATTTTATCTGCAAACATCTGCTTTTATCCGCAAACATCTGATTTTATCCACAAACAACTGATTTTATTCGCAAACATCTGATTTTATCCGCAAACATCTGCTTTTATCCGCAAACATCTGTTAAAATTTTAATCTCCAAACATCTGATTTTATCCGCAAACATCTCCTTTTATCCGCAAACATCTGATTTTATCCGCAAACATCTATTTTAATCTGCAAACATCTGCTTTTATCCGCAAACATCTGATTTTATCCGCAAACATATGCTTTTATCCGCAAACATCTGCTTTTATCGGCAAACATCTGCTTTTATCCGCAAACATCTGATTTTATACGCAAACATCTGCTTTTATCCGTAAACATCTGCTTTTATCCGCAAACATCTGATTTTATCCGCAAACATCTGATTTTAATCGAAAACATCTGATTTTATCCGCAAACACCTGCATTTATCCGCAAATATCTGCTTTTATCCGCGAACATCTCCAAACATAAAGTTGTGTGCCGTGAACGGCTAACAACCAGTTAGTTAAAGCTCAGTAAAATTTGACAAAAATTTGAGAAAGGAAAACAAAAAGCGCGAATGAAACCAGACGTTTGCGTACTAAACAGGAGTCCTGTTACAGGACTGAAATGGACAAAGGAAATGCAGGCAAACCGAACGCGGATGAAAGCAGAGATTTGCAATTAAAAGCAGATGTTTGGAGATGTTCGCGGATAAAAGCAGATATTTGCGGATAAATGCAGGTGTTTGCGGATAAAATCAGATGTTTGCGATTAAAATTAGATGTTTGCGGATAACAACATCAGATGTTTGCGGATAAAATCAGATGTTTGCGGATTAAAACAGATGTTTGTGGATAAAATCAGATGTTTGCGGATAAAAGCAGATGTTTGCGGATAAAATCAGATGTTTGCGTATAAAATCAGATGTTTGCGGATAAAAGCAGATGTTTGGAGATTAAAACAGATGTTTGCGGATAAAAGCAGATGTTTGCGGAAATAAATCAGATGTTTGCGAATAAAATCAGGTTTGCGGATAAAAGCAGATGTTTGCGGATAAAATCAGATATTTGCGTATAAAATCAGATGTTTGCGTATAAAATCAGATGTTTGCGTATAAAAGCAGATGTTTGCGGATAAAAGCAGATGTTTTCGGATAAAATTAGATGTTTGCGGATAAAATCAGATGTTTGCGGGTAAAATCAGATGTTCGCGGATAAAACCAGCTGTTTACGGATAAATGCAGATGTTTGCGGATAACATCAGATGTTTGCAGATAAAATCAGATGTTTGCGGATAAAAGCAGATATTTGCAGATTAAAATAGGTGTTTGCGGATAAAAGCAGATGTTTGGAGATTAAAACATATGTTTGCGGATAAAAGCAGATGTTTGCAGGTGAAATCTTATGAATCAGACTTTTGCGGACTAAATGAGATGTTTGCGGATTAAAACAGATGTTTGTGGTTTAAAATAGATGTTCGCGGATGAAAGTAGATCTTCACGTATAAAAGCAGATGTTTGCAGGTGAAATCGGATAAAGCAGACGTTTGCGGATTAAAGTAGATGTTTGCGGATAAAATCAGATAAAACCGGGTGAATGCAGATATAAACTCAAATACAGGTATTTGCGGATGAAAACAGAAAAAAGCAGACATATATCTAAATAGATAAAACCCGACGTTCGCGGATAATATTTATACCCGCAATTGCAGATAAAAACCGACATGCCGGGTAAAATCAGATATGTCGGATAAAAACAGATATAAATGGACATAAAACTAGCTTGGTTTTTTATCCGCAATCATCCGATATTACCCGTCTTTTTCAGCAGGGAGGGAAATAAAACGTTTAATGTCCTACAAAATGTTACAATTAGTTTTGAGGAAAAACTAGAAAAATCCTGAAATTTACTGTAAATTCAACGTTGATTTAAAAAAAAATTAACCCTTTTTGTACAAAAATGGGAAATAACAAATTGCGAATTTTGACAGCATTTTTTTTTCGTCATTTGGGAAAATATTTTTAATATAAATTTATTTCTCTTTGTTAATTAAGGAGATACAAGGTCGGTTAAATTAAATAAAAGTTGCGTAAATACAGGTATATTAAAAAGGCATTTAAAAAAATTAGATGTTCTCAAATAATTTGAAAAAAACTGAAAACCTGTCAAAATCTAAAATTGTTATGTCTTCGTTATTCCTGTGAATTAAAAAAAAAGTAAGTTTTACATGTTAACATATACATTTATCTACATTTTCATTTAATTTGTGATTTTTTTCACCTACTAGATTTTGAGATACCACCACCATCTTGTGTTTTTCCTATGGCCGAACTTTACATGGTTATAAAAAAAAATTATGATGTATCAAACTACATAAGTTATGGCGGCGATAATAAAAACAAAACATGGTGATGGAGCTTAAAACATAGAAGCGAGAAAATTGGATAAAAATGTAGATTAATTTGTGTTTACTTGTAAAACTTTTTTGAATTTGAAAGGTTTTTAGTTTTTTTTTTAATATTTTGCGAACTGCTGGCATTTTTTCCAATGCCATTTTAATAAACTTGTAATTACGCAACTTTCTCTAACTAAACCGACCTTGTGGCTCTTCAAATAAAAAAATACACATAGAAGGATACTGGGTGCACTATTAAAAACGTCTATTTTCAAATGTTGTCAATAAAAATTAAAAGGCTAAAACGTATGAAGGTTTGACGTCATAACTGCTTGACCACAAAAGCAGAGATTTTCAAATTTATATGAATTTGAAGTAATTATTGCGGAGTGAATAATCTTTTAATGTAATTATGTTATTTCTATGTAAAATTTATGTTTCTTACTAAAAAATGGAAATATAAGAGCTTACCTTCTGGTTTTCTATCTGCGCTTTGAGATCTAAAATTGTTAATTCTTCTCACTGCATTGGGGCTTCCTCCTATAATTTGGGAGGGTTGGGCGTAAACCACACCTCCAGACTGGGATACATAGGAAACCTAAGAAAAAGAACAAAATGTTATTTTTCACCAAATACTTAAAGAAATCGTGTCTTTACAAAGAAGTCCTCACCTTTTGGTTGGTCTGTTGGAAAGTGCTGAAAACAGAATTCTGCGCAGGTTGCTGCGTTATTAGGTTGGCATTGTTGCCGGTTGTTTGGTATAAAGATTGCGACGATGCCGACATTCTCCTAATGGAATTCGGTGATGCTGGAGTATGTCTTAGCTCTGTCAAAGCCTTAACTGTTTCAGCTACATTCACACCTACAATTTACACAATTAATGCGAAAATTAATTGAATTCTAAAGACATATTTGTCTTTAAAACGACGATTTTTACATTTCTTACCAATCCCTGGTTTGGCCGGCTGGTTATTCTGATTTGGTTCTAGAAGGAAAGCCGGTGGAGGGGGGAGATTCTCCAAGCTTCCCATGGAGCTTAGTTGTCCAATTGTATTCGTGTTGGTGATGGAGGAAGTTCGTCTTATCGGTGGTGGGGGTTTATTAGTCTGCATAGAGCCTCTGCGCAGAAGCGTATTGCGCATAGTACCACCACCCATGGCTAGTACAAAAATAAGTAGCAATGGTTATGTTGAGTTGTAAAAAAATCTAGTTTTATGCAACAAGGCATGCTAAAATTGTCCAATTTGTATGATAAATGGTTTTAAATTATAAATAAACTATACCAAATAAAAATCTAAATTTTTTATAGAAAATTACATAGAACTAATGTAAAGGATTTTTTAAGGAGATCTTATATATCTTTTATTATGATATTTCTGAGTTCATTATTCGTTTATTACAAAACTAAAAATACTTTTAACTGATTTTTTAGTTTTTTAGTTCTGTGCATATTTTCTTTATGATTCAATGATAATTGTGTTATAATGTTGGTGTACCTGTCATGGAAAGAGGTCTTCTTCTAGCTGCATTAAGAAGGTCGCTGTTTCTTGGTAGCGTGCAATATTTGCTAGCCGTATCGTTAACATCTAAACACACTAACTAATGATAACACTGCATGCTAAAAGGTATGGTAAATCGCACAAAAAAATTAAAAAGATATCCATCAATAGTATATTGTGCAACGAGTGGAGAAAATGGTCGGTTCTGAATAAGCATTCGTTTGATGCGCGAGCGTAGCAAGATTGCGAGTTTAAAATCGAACATTCTACATGAGTTCCACATATTATTTTGTCCCACAATCAAATCACAAATTAAATAAAAATTAAGACTTTTGTAGAAATGGTTTGACCCTAAAAATGTGTTCTAAGGTTTTTTGTGATATGTGAATATGTGAAAAATGTTTAAAATCATATTTATATAAGTATATAAAAAAAAGCTGAAATATATTAATTATTAACAATTGGCTTTTTTTCTTTTTTATTATTCCATTAGTACAACAATATTTTTATTATCTTACTTTATTTATTGTTTTCAAGCGTATACGTCTCATTTCCACGTAAGTGTGGGACAAATGCTATTTTATTATAAATATTTATTTAGGTCAACTAAGTTTTTAATCAGAAACCAGATTTTATTTTTTCAAAGGTTTTTGACGTGCTAAATCCGAATTAGACTTCAGAAACACAAGTTTAAACTTTAAAAAGCAGTTTTTTCCAAGGCTGGGAATCGATTACGAATAATTCGAATATTCGAATAGAGGTGTAAATCGATTATAAATTATTCGAATATTCGAGTAGAGGTGGAAATCGATTATAAATTATTCAAATGTTCGAATATTTTTTTTTAATTTTATTTTGAGGGTCGCCTGCAGCGATCATTAGCATTTACTTGAATATTAAAACACTTTAAATCAGTATATGTAAGGGTGGCGCAAAAAAACTTGTTTTCGATTAATATATTAACCCACTTGTTAAATTTATTTATTTAATTATATAAACCTTGCAAAACTTAAACATGAAATAGGAATTTTTCTAATGATTAAATAGTTTTGATTATTTGAATATTTAAAAAATCGATTATTTGAATATTAGAATATGTACTCAATACTTAGGGTCCATAAAGAAGCACATGAAACTTTTTTTCTTCTAAATTCTAAAAATAATTTATAATAACCTTTATCCTACCAAAAAGTACGCCACTGATCGAGTAGGAACTTTAGGCTAATCTGGTTGGCTAATTTAATTTATTATGTTATGGTTGGTAACAACCAGCATTTCCAGATTCTGTCAAAAAAGTTGCCAAATTTTGTTTAAATTTAGTTTAATTACAAAAATGACAAAATCAACAATGCAAATTGTTAATTTAGCGTTTTTATTGATTGTTTATTATGTCATTTTTGTAATGAAGGTAAATTTAAACACAATCTGGCAACTTTTATGACAGGTTATGTGTTCAAATTATAAATATCTTAACTAAGGGAAGTGCTTTTGGATTTATTTACACACATTGAATGTTTAAAGTTTAACCTGTGAACTTGTCCTAATTTCATTTGAGTAAACAGAACGAAAAAAACGATAAAAAAATTAATTTTGTGCTTTTGGAGTTTTAAAATAGGTATTAAATTTTCTAATCTTTGATTAATCTAATAGCTGGATGAGTAAATTAATACAGAAGGGTATTAGAGCTTAAAGGGCATACAACTTTTGTGTTTATTAAGTTTTTATTTCTTTTTTGCAAGAAAAATTGTTAGTAACAACTATTTACAACTGGCAACGCGCTGCTACTTTGTTGGTTAGTATCTATAAATGTACTCACAGAACACAAGTGTGTAACCAGTGGCGTATCGCAAAAAATATAAAAAACTTCTAATGCTTTTTTTTTTCTTTGTCAAATATTTTTTTAAATATTTTTCCGTTACACCTTATGTCAAAAGGAATTCAGCATTTTAATATATTACATTCATTACATATATGTAGTATATGCATAACACCCTGTATAAAACAGGCTAATTAATTGTTTTTTATAAATGAATCTACGTTTTTATGGTTTAAGATTTTTGTTCTTTGTATATTTATTTAAGTGAATTAGGTAATTCAAAAAAGTCTGATTTAATTCAATTCAAGTCGGAATTTTTGACTTTTTTTATAAAAGTCATGACTTATTCTAATGCTGATTCGAAATAATTTTTAAACGACTATTCGAATTTCTAAAAGTAAAAAATTCCCAGCCTTAATTTAGTATTTGGGATTGTATCATAATTTTTCACAACAAACCTCCTTACGTCATATAAAAGTACCTACTGTAAATATTTTGTTATGTAAAAAAACCGCTAGTTTTGGGTCAACAGTTCTAAAAAATCTGACGTGATAGAGCAATTTTGAGGTCGAATTTCGTAGACCTTTGTAATGAGTGAGACAATAATTTTTCATAAATACTGATATGGACATGTAGAAAAATACTAATTACTGAGGAATATCTTTAAAATTAGTAAATGTATTTTACAATGGTTTTAGAGAGATGTTATGAATTATTATAAGAAATTCTAGCAACCTCATGAAAAAAGGTTCACACCATGCATTAACTTTAGCAAAAAAGAAAAAACATCTAGAACAATATTTTATCAAAGTTACAAATATCTATAGATCTACCACTCTGTATGTAAAAGATAAAACATTATTCTATTCGAAAAAAGAAAACAAAAAATGAAAAAAAATCTTACCGTCGTTATGTGCAGTATCATCAGGTGTAAAAGTGGTTTGACTTCCATAACCACTTGAAGATTCTAAAGAACTTTCGCTGGTGCTGCCATCTTTTTCTCCTTCAATTGGTGTCTAAGAAATTTTTTATATTATGTTTTAATTTTTAAGAAATGGTTTGTTTACATATACAATTTTAATACATTTTTAAACCCAAACAAACGTATTAGTACTTCTATGTTTCTTAGATATAGAGGGCGTTTTAAGATTCTACAATAGGGTAAAAAGTACTTTTCAAGACTACTAAACTTAACTTAAATGTCTAATAAAATAACAAGAAAAATGGTTTAGGTAATATTTAAATTTTGACTTACCTTTTCATTGGATGGTGGGCTTATAAACTCAGCTGGTGGTGGGGGGAAATTATTTTTTTCTTGCACTTTATTGGCAGCCATGTTTGCTAATTCGTGCATGTTTACGTAGGTAGGCTGGGGAATATCTAAAAAAATGTTTTAATACAAATCATTGAATTGTGAAATTTTTTTCTCATACCTCTCTTGGAGAGGTGAGCTGGCAACCCTGAGGGCTTCTTCAACACAGCTTCAGCAGCTGAAGGCAAAACTCTGACACCTTGCATTCCAGCAATTGTTTTTGCAGGTACATGTGGCCCGTTGGGTCGTTCCAAGGAAGAACACCTCTGAGAAAAAACATTGATATGTTTATGAACGAAATTTTGATTAGACCATGCTTACCGTTGGCAGTGGAGGCTTAATCTGCAAACTCTTAACCGACGGCGCAGGACTTTTTGGCGGTATGGGTCTGGGACAGTTCTCCGTTGGAGTTATGGAAGTTACCGGACTGGCCGGTTGAGATAAACTTTGATCTGGCGCTTGGAAAGTGTACACAGTCAGCGGGGGACGTTGGTGACCTTTTTCGTATGCTAAATAGTGTTTTTTATTATACATTTGTATTTCGACGTTTTCTTAAATATGGGGGAATGGAAGGAGATTTTACCTGATGAAATTGTATGTGGACGATCGCTTATGATAGCCGAAGCGGCCCTTTCGAATTGTATGGTTTCTTGAAGATTCGGCCATGTCGATGTGGAGGTGGGAATAACAGTTGCCGGAAACGGTGTGCAGGGTGTACTAGAACTGCTGCTGTTTGTACTGTGTTCCGACATATTGGATACCTTAGAAAAAAAAAACATTATTACAATCCTGAAGATTAACATTCATACAGTTTGTCCACCAATAGAGTTCTAAATATAAAAACTAACTCCATCTATGGACACATTGTAAAAGGAGACTCCATATGATATTTGCATGCAGAAAAATTTGGGATAAAAATGATAAATACAGGTCGAGTTAATAATTATGGTAGTATGGTCCATGTTAGATGTTTCTTTTTTAAATAATTACCTGGGCAATGCTAAAAGACGAAGGCGGTCTTGGATACAAGGTATCCTGCGATGTAAATCCGGAATCCTGACTGGACACAGACATGTACCTTATTGTACCACTACGACCTACAGGCTGTGTAACGTAACGAAAAAAATAATAAAAAATAACCATGCCACAACAACAAATCGTGATTCTCACAAAAACAGTTTTTTGCAATTGGGGGTTTGCATTTACAAAAAGACCTTTTTGTGTGTTTGTTTCTTTCACGCAGTAACGGAGCAACGGATCGACGTGATCAAAAGATGCAAAAGGTATATGAGGCGGAGAGGTACTTTCTTCCTAAACTTTTTTTTTATATGAAACCCCCAATTTAAGCCGATTGTTTTTCATAAATATCTCTAAACATTTTTGTGAGAATTACTCAAAAATAACAAAAACTCACCTGGGACAAACTTCTCTGCCAATGCGGATGACTTGGCGAATGGTGGCTCTTGGAGCTACCGGATGAAGAGCTATTCAGAGAGCTTATAGAGCACATCGACGATTTTCTGGAGCCCAAACTCGACGGTGATGATGGTGGTGTTTGAAACGACCAACCAGAGTCGGAACTCTTTAAATCGGCTATCACTTGCTCTGAAGCTGGCGGAAGAACGGCCGGATCAGCTGTGTGTTTTTCCAGCTGCTGAACGGCTTCCTGGAGATGACCCATCTCCGTCAACATGGCTACTTCTTCATCCTAAAATGTTGTGATTTGTACATAAAAGATGTTTTCAAGAGAAAGTTGTTGAAAACTGACCACTACAGGTTTGAGTAGTCCAACAAAGGTACAAAATCTTCCTCTTTCTTCCAGAAGAGCAGCTCTGACGGCATGTTTTTCAGTTTCTTCTAAAAGCTGTCTTCTTTCAGTTACATCTTGTAGTCCACATTCTAAACGTTTCTGGAGGTCTAAACCGGCACTTTTTCTCATCTTTTTTTGTAGTCTTAAAGTATCGGTGGAACGTTTTTTGAGTTCATTTCTTGCCCTTTTATAATCTAAAACCATACCGTATTGTATTTGTAAATAATATAACACTCTGTATATTACCTTTTGCATGTTCTTTATCTAAATTTAATACCGTTTTCTTCCAGTCTTCTAATTTTTCTTGTAGTGGCAATATAAGACATTCCATTATAGTGCTAAAAAAATTATCTTAAAAAAACAAAAAATAAAAATTGTTAATTCCTTACCTAGTAAAAGTTTTCATCCTTGATTCGACGGCCTTGTGTCTAAGACATATTCTAGTTAATGCGGTTCCTATTTCTCTAGTGGCACCTGCAACAATAACACACTGTATTAAATACTATTCTAAATACAGGGTGTTTTTTAATTTAAAATAACTTGAAATCAGACTGCGCGGTATTTAAAACATATATATATATAGGTATACCTATAACTATAAGTTATAGGTATATGATTTAAAAGAGTGTGGTCGAGATATATCAAATCGTAAAAAAAAATTATAGATATCTTTCTTAAATAACTAGCTTAAGCTAGAGTTTCCTGCATGTTTGAATACTTTCTGGGTTAAAAAATACTTGCTTAAATTTTTTATTAAAATTTAAAAAAAAATCCAACTCGGGTTTGATTAATTTAAGTGTTTTTTTCAACCGTCGAAAATATCAAAATTTGTTTGCTTAGATCGATTGTAAAAAGAAACAAGCGATGATTATGGCTAAAGAGAGCACTCTATAGAGTGCTAGAGTCAGTATACTGACAGATTGAATGAACAAACTTGTTTCGCTACTACTAGCGCCATTTCTTTGATTTTAAAGGATTTATTGAGCTTCCCTCGTAGCAAAATTAAATGCTATTAACCATCAATCTTCCTATATTTGACCTTATTCAGCAATAATTAGCCAATGCATACTAATTAATAGATAGCTATCATTTAGTAGCAGTTCGAATCATTAATTAAACGAGTCCATAAATTTTTAAAACGTGTCGCAAATTTGCTAAAACGCCTATTACATATGCGTGTCATTTATCTTTTTGCTTTACCAACCAGATGTTTGTTGCTTTTTGAATAACATAAATTTACATTTGGTACGCCTAACAATATTTATTAGCAAAATTTCAGTTAATACAAGATTTAGTCCAGTTGTCAAAAAACATTAATTATTATACTTTGGAGTTTAGAGGTTTGCTAATATTTAAAATGAAAAACATAAGTAACTTTGTTAGAAGATGAGTGTTTGTACAAGAAAATTTCAGAAGACGTTTTGGAACACAAGCATTGTCCACCGAGGGGTGCCGATTTAACTTCTCTTGACATTTTTTAGTGTTTTTGAAGACTCAGATTTTAAAAAATTTTATTTAACTACTACAAAAACATTATATTTAGATCCTAAGTAGTGTTAGACCCTGTATATTTATTTGGTAACAGTTTGTTTTTCTAATGTATATTAAATAATCTTTTAGTCGTGATCTTTAGGGTTACAAAAAATAAGTCCATAAATTAAATTAATAAAAAGTTCAAATAGTTCAAGTAATTATTACGCATCATTAGATATTTCATAATTTCAAAGACAGCGCTTCTATTTTTCCATTAACTGATAAAAATTATCGCGCTGTATAAAAGCTCATTTTTAGAAACCAAAAGAACACTTACTATTTACTTTTCACTCACTTAACTTAAGATTTAACTTCTCGAATATTTATTATTTAATTATTATGTAAAACTTATTTACAATAAACGATCTTACGAGTCAAAGTGTTAGTTCTTCGTATCCCAACATAAAATTTGGCGCAGTCGTATTGGATTTGGTCACAAGAAGAAGAATCAAAAATCGAATAAATCAAGAATCAAAAGGGCAACTCATCTATATTTCTTCAACTTGGCGAGTTTCAACTCCTTGGATCAACAAAGAATCATCAAGCAACACAAAGAACCCTCAACCACAACGAAGAACGCACAAGACAGACAATATCAAACGTAAGTCGTTTATTCCTTTCTTTTTCCTTATTTCTGTTTACCCATTTTATATAGCAGGTTTAAATCTTTTTTTACTTTTCTTAAACATTTATTTGTATTTTCGCGTCTACTAAACTTTTACTATTCACAATGCCTGAAAATAACCCTCAAACGCTTCGAAATGCTGATAGCAGCAACATAACAGACATTCCTCCACACAAATTAGCTTTTCTTTGTTCACTTATACCTAAATCATTCGACGGAAATCGCACAGAGTTATACGAATTTATTTCTAATTGCGAAAACGCCTTTAAATTTGCACACAATTCTCAAAATGAACCTCTTATAGCATACGTGATTTCAAAAATAACAGGTAGTGCAAAAGCACAATTGCGCGATAAAGAAATAAATGATTGGAAGGACCTTAAAGAACTTTTAATACAATTATACGCAGACAAAAAACATTACACACAATTAATGGAAGATCTTAATACGATAAGACAAAATTTTAACGAATCTATTCTATCTTTTCACAACAGAGTTGATAAATTATACACCCGCATTGTTAATTGTATTTCCGATAACGACGAAGGCACTCGCAAAGCCCGAGTTCAAATTATTAAAGAATTAGCTTTGCAACGCTTTATCCTTCATAGTCAACCGGAAATATCGCGTTTTTTAAGAAGTAAAAACTCTAATAATTTATCAGACGCTCTAACTAGTGCTTTAGAAGAAAAAAGAGCTCTTCAAATTTCGAAATCTAGTTCTTTAGGATCCCGTCCATCAAAATTCTGCAAAAATTGCAAAACAAAAACTCATAACACACAAGATTGCTTTAAAAATAAAAAATTTAACGTACAATTAAATAAACCTAGCGAAAATTCAAATACAAATAACCATTCAAATACAAATTACAATTCAAATAAAAATTATAAATCAAATGGAAACTATAACTCATCTTATCAATCTAAATTTTGTAATTATTGTAAAAAGAATGGTCATTTAATAGACGATTGTTTCAAACGTCAACGAAAAAATGAAGGAAATAGTTCCAATCAAAATATAAATTATAATTCAAATTTCTCCAATAATACCGAATCTTTAAACGAGAATGCGTCCCAGAACAACGTCGTTTCTGCGGATTGGGAATAATAAAAACCGACGTAAAAATCTTAAATAAGCCCTTTCTAAATAAATCTTGCCGTAGACCTAATAATTTTGGTTGTTATCCGGTTCCAAATAATTCTTGCCGTAGATCTGAAAACTCAGGTTGCTATCCGGTTCTAAATAAATCTTGCCGTAGACCTAATAATTTTGGTTGTTATCCGGTTCCAAATAATTCTTGCCGTAGATCTGAAAACTCAGGTTGCTATCCGGTTCAAAATAAATCTTGCCGTAGACCTAATAATTTTGGTTGTTATCCGGTTCCTAATAATTGTAACAAAATAATTAAAAATCTTAAAACATTTAATATTCTTTTAAATAATAATGTAAGTCCGTGTATCGAAACATATTGTGATAACATTAAATTAAAATTTTTAATAGATACGGGAGCATCTGTATCACTTTTAAAAAATCAAGCGCATTTTTCTACTTTATTATCAAATCTTAATATTAATGAAAAAATTTTATTAAATGGGCTTAGTGCTAATTCTCCTGTAGAAACAGCAGGAAGCATAATTCTTCACCTTAGTCTAAACGATCAACCTATACCAATTAAATTTCAATTAGTTGATCAAAATAATAATATACCCTACGACGCACAGTGGCCGATTTTTCAAAAAAACTGGTCAAAAGTCGATTGCAAAATTTTGAGAAAGTACTACCTAATACTGATTAGGGAACTCTACTCTGTATCGTCACAAAGTAAAAATCAGTTCCCGTGAATATATTCAGAGTTAGAGCAAATCAAAATGACAGTTCTTGAAATCGCGCTCGACACGTTTTCAGGTCTGGAATTTTGCGCCCTAATTAAAGTGTCCATACAGTGTTTAAAAAAGACTTTATTACATTTTTTCGAATGGAAGGTGTCAATAAAGGTATTTATAGCATACATCTTAACTATTTTAGAATAAATAAAATATTCGTAATGCAAAAACTGATATTAAACATAACCATACACGGCTGATTTTTTTGTGATGTCATTTTATCAAAACGCATAAAAATAGTTATGAGAGTGGCCGAGATGAGTGGTCTAGTACATTTTTTCATAAAAGGTGGAGTGTAATAAATTGATTTTTTACAATATCTCCTGCTAATATTTGCTACTAAGTTTATAAAGTCTGTTTTTATCTCGATGTTTGCAGAATTTTTTATTAGCGTGCTAACATGCGATTAATGAGTTGAGTTGAGCGCCCTCTATCTCAAAAACGGTTCGACGTATACAAAAATGTTGTAAACAAAATTTGTAGAGAATTTTATTCTCTACAACTTTTATAATAAATGCAAATACGATAGGAGGCAGAGAAAACGAGATATTCTCAGAAAACTGATTTTTGCGACCTTCGACCTTGAATATCTAAGGCCGCTCACACGTTGGCATACGTGACTTTTGAGACAACATTTGTAATGGTAAAATAAAGGTCGTCACAAAAATTCAGCTTATTCCGTTGGATTCCGAGGTTGATCCCCTTTTTTGACTAAGATAACTGTACTAAAGAGATATCGTGAATATTTTTCTCGAAAATGCTCTAGGAATAGCACCATGACAGACCTTTTTCATTGGTTGCTCGTGTCCTCAGACCCATTAATTTCAAGTTTGAGATTGGATCCGCCGAAAAAAAAAACATTCTTTCAAAGGATGCAATAAAATTATTGACTTTTACAAGCGTAAATTCAACATCAGGGAATTCTGATCTTGATTCAGATTCTGATGAATGAGATGAATTTACCTCTGACAGGTATTATATATAAGTTGTGTTGGGTGAAATAAATAATTCTTAATAACAGAAAAATACATGATTGTATCATATAATATGATATATAATATAGTCTAAATATTTGAAATGGCGGGTTTAAAATGACAGATTCTTACTGCCATAAATAATAATAAGCCACACCTCGTAAAAGGGTTGGGTTCCGAATAAAAACAGATAAAATATATTCATTTTTTAAACATATTTTTGTAATATTATATATACAGTGTGTCGCATTTAAGATGAAGACACCCCCATATTTTCGCTATTTGAATGAATAGAGATTTGAATTTTTGCACATTCACACATGTTGATGGGTCGCATTTTTTGAGATACTCAACTAAAATCTGAACTTTAAACTTGGCCTACTACGAAGTCACAAACAGGGCCAGTTGTCAATATTTTGCTTCGCGTTAGAGATATCAAAAAAAATTATTAAAAAAAGT